AGAGAATGGAGAAAAATTAGTAAAAAATGAAGAAGAGAGAATAAAGGGTGCTTAAATATACAAAATAGAGTAAATTAAAAATAAAAAAAATGATGATCCCTCCCCCTACCAAGACTGAACTTTGCACCATAACTCAAAAGCCTCATAAACCTATAAGTCCTAAAGTTAGAGGTATGTAGACAGATCTCGAGTACCCGGTATGCATTTCATTTTATACATGGGAAAATGATAATTGAGGTATCTTTCTTCTATTTGGGTGTGCTGCTACTTCTTCGGAAGATTATACACAGTAGGAGTGAATACACATGTTCAATCAATGGCCATCCGTTTTGTTATTTTAATATCATGCCCATAAGTTATGTTTTCTTCATGAAACTATGGTAAAAGTGTGACTATGAACATTTCTTTTTAATGAAGTTTATACAATTCCTAAATTTCCTTGTTAAATATCTGTTTTTGTAGAGTCTGCAACAGAAGTCGTCGCAGAAAGCTCGACATAAGGATAGTGATCCAGCGGCGGTGGTGGCGGCGTTAACTTACTTCTTAAAAGCTTAATACTTGAGAAAGTAGAAGACCTGGATGCTTCATACTTTATATATAGATGCCTCATGATATGAAGTTTACGTCTGTCATATGTCCATTGTCCTTGACCTCATTTTCATGGTTCAGTGACTACTTGAAAAAAAAGTTAAGTTTTTTTGTAATGTTAATTTCTCTCTTATAACGAGTAATAGGATAACTATATTTTGTATGTGCGTACCTTGCAAGGTCCTCATGTCTGTCAGACAGTTTTCACTTGACCTCAACCTCATTTCATGGATCAGTGAACAAGGTTAAGTTTTCGTGGTCAAGTCCATATCTCAGATACTATAAGCAATAGGTCTACTATATTTGGTGTGTAATGATTGTAAGGTGTACATGTCCAACTGGCAGGTGTCATCTGACCTTGACCTCATTTTCATGGTCTGTGTTTTGGTCTGTTTTTCTAATACTTTATGCAATAGGTCAACTATATTTGGTGTATGGAAATATTTTACCATGTACATGTCAGTTTGGCAGGTTTTATTTGACCTTGACCTCATTTTCACAGTTCATTGCTCAATGTTGTTTTTTATACGACCACAAAATTGGTATCACGTCGTCGTCCGAAGACACATTGGTTTCCGGACAATAACTTTTGTTTAAGTGTATGGATTTCTACGAAATTTTACCATAAGGTTTATGACCACAAAAGGAAGGTTGGGATTGATTTTGGGGGTTATGGTCCTAACAGTTCAGGAATTAGGGGCCAAAATGGTCTTAAGGTGATTAGCTGTCAATTTATTTTTAGAAGTTACTACTGTGGATTCATTATTATTTTTCGTTGGATACCAATTTTCGTGGATTTCGTGGGTACAGGCAAACCACAAATTTAAATGTTCAACGAATTGCAAATATGTTGTATGATTATATGCAGACTTTTGAAAAACCATGAAATCAAATATCCACGAAAATGCAAGTTTTCCTCAAACCACGAAAATTAGTACCCACGAAAATAAATGAATCCACAGTATTTTAAAAATGTTTAATAAAGGTAATTCAATTATAGCCATGATTATGTATGTGAAGGAATTTTATTTTTAGATATTACTATTTAATGTTGCTGATGGAAGTGTTTTAATTTTAGGCATGATTATGATGTCATTTTCTATTTTAATACTTTTATGATGTATTTAAATGGGTTTTTATGGTTGCAAGGTCCTAGCTGTCAATTTATTTTTATAAGTTACTTTTAAATTCTGAGGAAGGAATTTTATTTTTAGATATTACTATTAAAAGTTGCTGATGAATGTTTTTTAATTTTAGCCATGACTATGATGTCATTTTCTATTTTAATACTTTTATGATGTATTTAAATGGGCTTTTATGGTTAAAAAAAAAGCATTTTTCTAGTTTCCAGACAGTAACTTGTGATTAAGTGTATGGATCTCTCTAAAATTGTACTACAAGGTTCCATACTACAAAGGAAAGACTGCAATTGAGTTTGATGGTTAATGCTAAACGGGGGATTCAAAAAGTTTGGGTGGAAGGGGGGTTTCCAATTTTTTTTTTAAAAGGGTTCATATTTTTTTCTTCAAAATTTCAAAATTTCAAGTTTCAAGAAGAAATCATCAATTGCACAGTATTGCGCATTAGATTTGTAAGATCTTTGACCACATTTATTTTGTGTCAGAAACCTATTTTATGTCAAAAATTTGATCACAATCCAAATTCAGATAGTATCAAGCTTGAATATTGTGTCCAAATTTGCCCCAACTGTTCAGGGTTCGACCACTGCGGTTGTATCAGGCTGCGCTCAGTGAAGCATTTTATTTTGTTTTGGTCTGTTTATTTCTAGTACTGTATGCGATAGGTCAACTGTATTTGGTGTATGTAAATATTTTACGATGTACATGTCAGTCTGGCAGGTTTTATTTGACCTTGACCTCATTTTCATGGTTCATTGCTCAATGTTAAGTTTTTGTGTTTTGATCTGTTTTTTCTTAAACTTTAAGCAATAGGACAATGTTCAGTTTTCCCGGATAACTTTTGTTTCTTAGATACTATAAGCAATAGGTCAACTATATTTGATGCATGGACTGATTTTAAGGTGTACATGTGTATCTGGCAGGGTTTATCTGACCTTGACCTCATTTTCATGGTTTATTGGTCAATATAAAATTTCCATGGTTTGGTCTGTTTCTTTATACTATAAGCAATAGGTCATCTATATTCAGTGTATGGAATGATTGTATTGAAAGTGTACATGTATTTCTGGCTTGGTTTATCTGACCGTGACCTCATTTTCTTGGATCATAAATGTTAGTTTGATACTTGTAGTAAAACTTTATATTTAGAACTATCAACATAAAATCAATGGTCAGTATAGTAGGCGAGACATTTCAGCGTGTGCACTCTTGTTATTTAACTTCAGCAGATATCCTTCTTCCAAATTAGATAACATCAACATCTGCATACTTCCTGGCTTAGTCACGTTTCAAATCTTCAATATACTTAAAATGTGTATTTTTTAAATAAAATATGTTTATAGAATTCCCTAAATTTTCCACAAATAATTCTTCATAGTATAATTGAAATTAATTCTGATTTCCAAATTAGATAAAAATTTAACATAGGAGAAACCAAAGATACAAGCAAAATTGAATTGAGCAACAGTTACATAAAGTTATTTCTAAGAACTTGCAGCTATTTTTAGATTTGTCAAAAGTTACTATCATCACTATGGTCATGTTTTACATTACTTTCCCAAAATAATGATGAAATTCTTGAATGAGTCGAATAAAAATTGTCAGTTGTAGAATCTTTGTTGAAGAACGATCTGACAGATGAGATGATTTTTTCAACTTTCTGTTTGTTGCCCAAAAGTTGAGATTGACGCTGTTTCTTTGAATGCCTTGAAGAAATTGATTTATAAGGCATGATTAATACACTGGTCTGCTGTGACATTGAACTCTGTTTGGAGATCAAACATGTTGACCCAAGCCAAATATACCACACTTACACATTGATCAAATTTAAATTCAATTATTATGTGGACAATAATTCAAGGTAAATTGTCTTAATTTCCTAATTATTAACACCTTAGAAGTCTCATCTATGTAATTTATATTTGTTAACAGCCTATGGGCCTTTTGAGACCACCTGTAATTAAATATACCTGTAAGCACCAGCACATTCTATAATTACCAGTTGTTCATTTGTCCTTTATACTGCATAATTTAATTAGCTACTGCATAATCACTGCTCACCCAGAGGGTATTAATTGCCCTTCTTTCCTGGCAGATGACATCTAAATCACTTGAGTGATTCTCATTATACATGTGTACCAATAAAATGGTCAGAATTAAATTGACTCATACCATTTTAACTTGGTAACAGCCATGCCTCTTACAAGTTCATTCAATTCTCCTAAAAAGGAAAAAAGATCTTCCTTGGAATCAGCCAGTAGTAGGATGATACATTCGCCAACAGAAAAAATAGCAAAAGGAATATTGAAGAATCAAGACGAGGATTTACCAGAAAAAATAGAGCTTGAAAAAAATGGATTACATTATACTAAAAGTCGTAAATCAACAGATTTGAAAAGTGAACAGTGTGAAGAAAAGATATTAGTACGATCAGTAACAGACACTTCAGACTGTAATACTAATAGTAATGGACTAGCTCCTACAACCATGACAAGTAATCCGGAATTTGCAGAAAGTATAGAAACACAATATAAAGGACATGAAGATTTAGCAAAACAGGAAGAATTAATTGTTAGTAAAAAATCTGAAGCAGTGCTAAATTCTGTGAAGAGTGACAAAATTGAGTTTGAAGGTATCCAGAAAAAGTTTTATAAGGAGACATGTGAAGGATCTGTATCAAATAACTCTGAAGAAACAGGACAAGACAAATCAGATGTTGTACTGAAGGAATCTATGACTGAGGATAATACCAACAATATCAGTAATATAGAATCTGTAGATGTGGAAAAACAGAGAAGTGGCCAGGAAAAATTGAGTGATCAAAATAAACGTGATGTTGAGACAGTGATTTTATTTGCTGAAAACAAGACTAAACTTAATGTTGAACAGCAAAAAGAAGTAACAAAATGTAATATGCAGCAGTCTTTGAACAAAGTTTCAGAAAAATTTAAGAATCATGAAAATATGGAACAAGATATGTTTGTAGATACTTGTGATCTTCCCCCTAGTGTAAGCTACCTTTCATAATGTTTAAATGTATATATATATAAATATCGAAATCTTTTTACTTGGTTTAGCAGTGGAAAAAATATATCTATGTAAAGGGTTATGCAACACTGTTACACATACACAAATAACCTATTGATATTTGTTATGATTTAGGCCATGATTCATTGATTGATTGTCACAGATCATTCAGCCGAGTACATTCCTACATTCCGAATACTTTAATTTTAGGTGAGAATAAAACATTATATATAATATGATTTTCAGATGCCAGGTAGAGGGAAAAAGAGAGGTCGAAGTTCAGGTTCAGGTTCTACAGATGTCACACCAGACGCTAAGAAAAGAGTTATCATTCAAGATAAGGATAATTCCAAAAATATCAAAGGTTAGTTTATTAGCAATCAATTGTAACCATATAGTTCAGAGAAAGGGTTCTGAAACGGTGATATTTGCCAGTCATGACCCAAACTGAAAGCTTTTTGTCCTAAACGACAGATTGGGATTTAGGTCAATTTTTTTTTTATTATTTACAGAAATAATTTTGGTCATTTCATTGAGATCAGGTTTCACCATTTTCGCACTTGTTTTTGTTTATTCATCCTTTTCCTGTAATAAAACTGCCACTCCCGTATAGTATGATGATCCTGAGGGCCCTCCTTAGGCCAAATAAAAATATAAGCGTGGTTCTAGTTACCCGACCGACCCTAGTTTAAACACCACCGAACCTAGAGCTTTTTTTTTTCAATTCTGTGAAGTAAATTTTGAATGATCCCATGTTGTGGAATGTGAATTTCAATAATAAATTCACAGACTTCTGTCATCTGAATTTCCATTAGAAATATCCACTACAGCTAAAATGCAACAAAATTACCTAAAACCATAACATGTCTGTTTATTGTACAACGTCAACCAAACACATAGAAAATGGTGAAATTCCAGTTGGGGTGTGTATAATTCTGGAATCGGACTTGGTGAACACACAATTTTTGTCTGGATTTTGACATTAAAAAAAAAATGCTGACCTACCGACCCTATCTTTTGAGGATGTAACTGGAACCAAACATACAACAAATGGAAGTTTTTAAAGACCTTGACTGGCTATACAGCCCTTGCACGGTCGGGACCAAACATATATTTTTATTTTGGCCTTATAACCATATTTAAAATGCCTCTGGGAAATATTGGCTAATGATCGCTAATCGGAATTGAGTAATCCCTTTTTAGCTCACCTGACCTAAAAGGTCAAGTGAGCTTTTCTCATCACTTTGCGTCCGTCGTCCGTAAACTTTTACAAAAATCTTCTCCTCTGAAACTACTGGGTCAAATTTAATCAAACTTGGTCACAATCATCATTGGGGTGTCTAGTTTAAAAAGTGTGTCCGGTGATCCGGTCAACCAACCAAGATTGCCGCCATGGCTAAAAATAGAACATAGGGGTAAAATGTAGATTTTGGCTTATATCTCTGAAACCAAAGCCTTTAGAGCAAATCTGACATGGGGTAAAATTGTTCATTAGGTCAAGATCTATCTGCCCTGAAATTTTCAGATGAATCGGACAACCCGTTGTTGGGTTGCTGCCCCTGAATTGGTAATTTTGAGGAAATTTTGCTGTTTTTGGTTATTATCTTGAATATTATTATAGATAGAGATAAACTGTAAACAGCAATAATGTTCAGCAAAGTAAGATCTACAAATAAGTCAACATGACCAAAATGGTCAGTTGACCCCTTAAGGAGTTATTGCCCTTTATAGTCAATTTTTAACCATTTTTCATAAATTTTTGTAATCTTTTACAAAAATCTTCTCCTCTGAAACTACTTGGCCAAATTTAACCAAACTTGGCCACAATCATCATTGGGGTATCTAGTTTAAAAAATGTGTCCAGTGACCTGGCCAACCAACCAAGATGGCCGCCATGGCTAAAAATAGAACATAGTGGTAAAATGTAGATTTTGGCTTATATCTCTGAAACCAAAGCATTTAGAGCAAATCTGATATGGGTAAAATTATTTATCAGGTCAAGATCTATCTGCCCTGAAATTTTCAGATGAATCGGACAACCCGTTGTTGGGTTGCTGCCCCTGAATTGGTAATTTTAAGGAAATTTTGCCGTTTTTGGTTTTTATCTTGAATATTATTATAGATAGAGATAAACTGTAAACAGCAATAATGTTCAGCAAAGTAAGATCTACAAATAAGTCTACGTGACCAAAATGGTCAATTGACCCCTTATGGAGTTATTGCCCTTTATAGTCAATTTTTAACCATTTTTTCGTAAATTTTTGTAATCTTTTACAAAAATCTTCTCCTCTGAAACTACTAAGCAAAATTTAACCAAACTTGGCCACCATCATCATTGGGGTATCTAGTTTAAAAATTGTGTCCGATGACCCCGCCCGATACAAGATGGCCGACATGGCTAAAAAATAGTACATAGGGTAAAATGCAGTTTTTGGCTCATATCTCTGAAACCAAAGCATTTAGAGCAAATCTGACGCGAATAAAATTGTTCATTAGGTCAAGATCTATCTGCCCTGAAATTTTCAGACCAATCAGGCAACACGTTGTTGGGTTGCTGCCCCTGAATTGGTCATTTTAAGAAAATTTTGCAGCTTTTGGTTATTATCTTGAATATTATTATAGATAGAGATAAACTGTAAACGGCAATAATGTACAGCAAAGTAAGATCTACAAATAAGTCAACATGATCAAAATTTTCAATTGTCCCCTTAAGGAGTTATTGCCCTTTATAGTCATTTTTTTACAATTTTCATAAATTTTGTAAATTTTTGTAAATTTTTACATAATATTTTCCACTGTAACTACTGGGCCAAGTTCATTATAGATAGAGATAATAGTAAGGAGCAAGAATGTTCAGTAAAGTAAGATCTACAAACACATCACCATCACCGAAACACAATTTTGTCATGAATCCATCTGTGTCCTTTGTTTGATATGCACATAGACCAAGGTGAGCGACACAGGCTCTTTAGAGCCTCTAGTTACCTGTGTTTTTAATTCACACCTGACTGATCACAAGCTCAGAACTAATATTATAAAGTAATTTAAATTCCATGACAATTTTCTTCATTATTTAATTACTTTACATCAAAGACAATTGTCAATTCTGATTTAGAAATTAAAACTTTAATTTACGTAGAAAAAAAAAGTAATTTTTCACGAGTCAAATGTGTGCTATATTTACTATGCACTACGCATGCATGAAATTGTTCTTACCAGATTATACACTTAAAAATAGTAAAATGCAAAATGATTTCATGCTAAATTAAACGAGTGCAACTATTATCAGTTATATTCAAACATTTTTAAAGGTAATAAAATAAAAAAATCTGGTGATATCCTGTCAATTTGATAAACAGAATGTATACCGGAAATGAATTCTGAATCACTCGTACTTTAGTATTAATGTGAAACTTCCAGTTTTTATTTCCTCTTCAAAATCGAAAGAAGCGTTGGCCATTCTTGAGAAATTAATTATTCTTAGTCATTAAAATCACTTCAATTTTAAACTGCTGCATACCATAAATTGTCTTGAATTTTTTAGAGAAACGGTTAGAAAATTCATGAAGTAAATGCAAAACAGTTTATTACAATGCAAGTTCGTTGATGCCATGAATCTAGTGTGAATAATTTTGACAGTTTGAAAAAAGGGCCCCAGCTTTTAAGTTTTCTCAAAATGACCGAAATTGTGTGAAAAAATTTCCAGGTCCTTGGTTCAGAGCACAGAGTTCAGATAATGATGTTGCTAATGTAAAATATTATTTTTCGCTACGTCATACTGTGACATATGGGGAAAAGATGCTTTTTTCTACTGATTTTAATCATTAGCTTGAAAACAAGTACATGGACCTCTCTATTTAAAAATGACATTAGGTTTCATTAAGTATGAAAATTATTTGTATCAATTTTCATGAACAAATCACAGATGGAATTTTTTCAAATTCGATAAATATACAGCAAAAAATGCCTTTTTTTCCCCCTAAAATCATGAAAATTTAATAAAAATTAATTATATTCAAAGAATTTTTACAAAAATTCACAGCCTATTTAAGTAAAGAAGATATTCCAAAAGTTTTTACAAAAATCCGCCTGTGTTTACCTTTTGAAACAAAAAAGTGCGGTATGTCTGTCCAAAGGATAGAAATATCCAGGAAACCGAAATTTTTAGTAAATGTCTAAAATTTCAACCCCATTTATTACTATGATTAGCATATGAAGTAAAGTTTTTATACGACCGCAAAAAATTTGCATTCCTATTTGTTATGTCGGCGTCCGAAGACACATTTGGTTTCCGGACAATAACTTGAGTTTAAGTGAATGGATATCTATGAAATTTTACCAGAAGGTTCAATACCACAAAAGGAAGGTTGGGATTGATTTTGGGGGTTATGGTACCAACAGTTTAGGAATTAAGGTCCAAAAAGGAGCCAAAAACAAGCAATTTTGTAGTTTCAGGACAATAACTTGTGTGCAAGTGTATGGATCTCTCTGAAATTGTACCACAAGGTTCCATATCACAAAGGGAAGGCTGGGATTGATTTTGGGGGTAATTGCCCCAAACGTGCAGGAATAAGAAGCCAAAAAAAAGCATTTTTCTAGTTTCCAGACAATAACTTGTGTTTAAGTGTATGGATCTCTCTGAAATTGTACTACAAGGTTCCATGCCACAAATGGAAGGCTGGGATTGAGTTTGGGGGTAATTGCCTCAAATGTTTAGAAATTAGGGGTAAAAAAGGGGCCAAAATCAAGCATTTTTCTAGTTTCCAGACAATAACATGTTAAAGTTTATGGAACTCTCTGAAATTGTACATTTTTCCTGAAAAGAAAATAATCTTCAAAATTTCAAAAAATATTGGGGGGGATTTTTTTGGGGGTTCATATTTTTTTTCTTCAAAAGTTTTCAATATTTCCAAAATTTTCCGTTTTTATATTGATTATTTCTGATTTATATATAAAAGCAACAAATACTGATATGGCAGGAGATACACACCAAACAGGGTGTGTAAGTACCGAATATCAGGTTGTCTGCATATTGATATCGTAAAATATCAGCTGTGAGTCACAATGTGAAGCTTTTTGTCGAGTGAGCGCAGCGAACGAGATCAAAAAGGCTCCATTTTGTGTCGAGCAGCTGATATTTAACAATATAAATATGCAGACAACCAGATAATTGATTTATTGGGTTGTATTTGCGTATTTTGCATGATAGAAACAAGTGTTTTCTTTGTTTCACCAGCAAACTTGAAGATGACGTGATAAGTTCGGGTCAAACTAATCAAAAGGGTCCAAAATTAAACTTTGTTTGATTTCATCAAAAACTGAATTATTGCGGCTCTATGATATGTTGAATCTTATTATGCATTTAGATTTTTTATTTTGGGCCCTGTTTTCAAATTAGTCCATATTCAGGTTTGAAGGGTCCAAAATTAAACTTTGTTTGATTTCAACTAAAATTAAATTTTCTGTGTTTTTTTATATGCTGAATATAACCATGTTGTTAAGATTTTGGATATCAGACCATACTAGGTAAATTAAATGTCCCATTTCAAATTTTTAAGATATTTGACCACATTTATTTTGTGTCAGAAAACTATATAATGTCAAAAATTTGATCACAATCCCATTTCGGACAGTATCAAGCTTGAATATTGTGTCCAAACTTGCCCCAACTGTTCAGGGTTCATCCTCTGCAAAAATTCACTGTGGGATCAAATCTGTATCATATGCCCTTATAGTAAGAGGTGTTTGATAAGCATCAATCAATCAAATACTGTATCAAATTATTGGACGATTTTTAATAATGCGACTTGATGAGTTGCAATGATCAGAACTTGCATTCTGATATATCTGATACATAATATGTATGGAGCTTTTACTGAAATCCAACATTTTTGTCCATTCTTGAAAAATCGTAATGATAGATACATGCAATAATATCTGAATTTACAGTAATGTTATTTGCAGTCTGAATAAAAAATGTTTGAATTTTTAATTATTTGCAAGATGAGTTAAAAACACGGTATCATTTATACCTTTACAAAGATGTGAAGAGAATATTTAGAATAATTTTTGCCTGATGTTTGATTATTTCAGTAACACATCACACACACCCAGATTTTACAGTGCCTGGTATCCCTCTTACATTGGGGGAAGGAGATGTCGGCCAGCTTGGACTGGGAGAAGATATCATGGAGAGGATGCGTCCAGCACTTGTAAAACTTGATGACAAAATTGTACAAGTGTTTGCAGGGGGTATGCACACAGTGTGCTTAACCAACAAGGGAGAGGTAAAGAAAATAAACTCGACTGTTTCATCAATTCCAATGTGTGAAAATTATCAACCGATTCTCTAAAATAATAGGACTAGGAGTCTCTTTATTTTTGTTATGGTTTATTGTTTATTATTTTTTGAATTTTACAGTCAGACAGTGTTCAAGTGTTATAATAATAATAATAATAATAATAATAATAATAATAATAATAAATTCTTTATTTAAAGAGGGTAAACACAGTAAGTTACAATTACTAGTCTTCCCTGAGGCCCTCATATACAATACAAGTAAAAAAATAATAATAAGAGAAAAAAAGCAAACATACAACATATTAACACACAGTCAGTTCACAATCGTATAGTCATGATAGTTCAGTTAACATGTACCATTAGAACATATAAAACAGTTACAGAGTGCATGTAGTAAATAGATATTATATACAAATCAAAATCATACATTCTAAAAAAGTAATAGTTGCAATCATTTCAAGACTGAATATTGGGACTGCCTCAAGTATCGTTTTATAATTTGTTTAAAACAAAAAGTGTTTTGCACTTTACGCATTTCATATGGTAGTTCGTTCCATAAAACTGATCCAGAATAAGCAAAAGATTTTTTAAACAGTTCAGTTTTTAACTTAGGAACTATCAAATTACCTTGAGTAACACCCCTTAAAGCATAAGAATTAACAGATATAAGTTGAAACTTTTGAAGTAGGTACTGTGGTGCTATTTTCCGCATACATTTATCTAGCAGTAAATATTTGTGGTATTTGATTCTATTTTCTACTGTCATCCATCCAAGTTCTTTAAATGAGGGGGGCTGATGGGGATAAAGGGCCTGCATCAAGAATTAATCTTGCTGCTCTTTTTTGAAGTTTTAATATTCTTATTCAATATTGTCCCTTCATTTTTACATTCTCCCCAAACAATACAGCAGTAATCGAGGAGCGGCAGAATATACCCATTATAATATGCTTTCCTGGCATTAATATCTAAAAATTTCTTAAATTTAGAAAGAAGGTATATTCTTGATGAAATGCTAGCACAAATTTGATCAATTTGATTTGTCCAGCTAAGTGTGCTGTCAATTTTAACACCTAATAATTTTTCACATGATGAATTTTGTAGTGTTTCTGAATTTATTTGTAAATTTGGTTGAAAAGATTGAGTTGATAACTTCTGACTTGTTCCAGTAACCAAACATTTAGTTTTTTTAGTATTGATGAACATATTATTCATCTTGCACCATTCTTCAACTCTGCATAAATCTTCTTGTACATCATCATGTAAATTTTCTATGTTTTTCCTGGATTTATGAAGAGTAGTATCATCAGCATACAAGTCTGTTTTACAATTTTTAATGCAAATGGGAAGGTCATTTATAAATAAGACAAATAATAGAGGACCTAGTATAGATCCTTGGGGGACACCAAATTTCACATCTTTTTTATCAGAATTAACATTGCAAATGTTTACTTGCTGTGTTCTATTACTTAAGTATGACCTGAAAAAAACTACTGCAGACTCACTGAATCCATAAATAGCAAGCTTTAAGCAAAGAATTTCATGATCTACACGATCAAATGCTTTTTTGAAGTCCAACAGTATTGCTAGGTTTAAATTGCCATCATTCATTTCTTGCAGCCATTTGTCAATGGTATCAATAAATGCAGAATGATGTGGCCTGAAACCTGATTGTGTAGGATGTAAAAGTTTAAATTTAGTCAAGTATTTGTACATGTTATTTGAGACATGCCTTTCTAATACTTTTGATAGAGATGGAAGAACAGATATGGGTCTGTAATTTGTTGCTGAAACCTTGTATTTTGTTAGTATTCATGTCGAAGGATATTGTGAGGTCTAAAATTTAAGTGATACTTTACTAAATATGAAGTTATTGAATTGTTCAGTGTAAAGTTTTCTTTAGAATAAAACATGATAAAATTGCAGAATGCACTCATTTTAATTGAAAAAAAGTCTGCATTCTATTTCCTAGATAATTACATTTGGTTGCAATGATGAATCAGCACTTGGAAGAGATACTTCAGAAGAAGGGTCAGAGATGTACCCAGCCAAATTAAACCTACCTTACAAAGTTATTCAAGTTAGTGGTGGAGATAGTCATACAGCTGTTTTAACTGAAGATGGCCATGTGTATGCCTGGGGTAACTTTCGTGTAAGTGTTGTTATAGTGTTTACAATACTCTTTATTTTAATCTTTTGAATTTATCAATGTCAGTTATCATTAGCTTTTAAGATAACTTTTTTTGATGGATCTGTCACAGAAAACTGAAAATTTTCTCTTGTTATATGCTATATTTTCATGATAAAAATACAATGACTACATTTACATAAAGTTTTAGTTTAAACATATTTTATTGTTCAAAATGAAAAATGGATCAGACACAAGTTTTACAACTTAATTTACATGCAGTGATCAGGAAAATCCAGTGCCATGCGCTAATTGCGCATTTTGACAAAAAAATGGTGCATAGAGTGACAAATTTATGTCAGTGCCAGAGCAGGGCACAATATATTTACTTGGTATTGTATTGTATTGTTTTATGTCACCATATTTTTGTGGTACACAGTGTTGTGTTTTGCTCCATTGCCAGGAGCACCACCTACATTTTTAGGTTGCCTCAGACATTTTCAATAATGTTAATGATAGCAAGGCATGGCATAAATGATCATTGAGAAATAACGTGATAAACCATGATATAAATTTTCAATGGAAACAACGTTAATTTGGTGAAAATGGGCTAGTAAAGAAGAGATCTTTTTCTTTATTATATTTTCAAAGTAAAATTGCTATAATGTGATTGAAACCTCTAGAAATAAGTCACTTAAATTGCTTAATTATCCTTATCTGTCTTAGGGTTATCGACTTATTTATTAATTTGGTAAACATGCCCCAAAGGAACAGTGAAATGCTGTTCTACCTGGCCAAAAAAACATGACTTTTTTGTTGATCTAGAGGACTAATTTTTTTAAACAGATCATAGACAAGCAGCAGAAGTACCTGAAACGTCCTTAAATACCAAAGAAAGTAACACAAAGCGATGTCTACTTATAGTCAATTGAATTTTTTTAGTCAATTTTTTTTGTTGAGCTTGCAACTTTTGTCGCAGAAAGCTCGACATAGGGATAGTGATCCGGCAGCGGCGTTAGCTAACTTCTTAAAAGCTTTATATTTTAGAAGCTAGAAGACCTGGATGCTCCATACTTTATATATAGATGCCTTATGATATGAAGTTTCCGTCTGTCATAAGTCTATTGTCCTTGACCTCATTTTCATGGTTCAGTGACTACTTGAAAAAAAAAAGTCAACATTTTTTGTAATGTTAATTTCTTTCTTATTATGAGTAATAGGATAACTATATTTAGTATGTACGTACCTTGCAAGGTCCTCATGCCCTTCAGACAATTTTCATTTGACCTCAATCTCATTTCATGTATCAGTGAAGAAGGTTAAGTTTTCGTGGTCAAGTTCATATATCAGATACTATAAGCAGTAGGTCTACTATATATGGTATATGGAATTATTGTAAGGTGTACATGTCCAACTGGTAGGTGTCATCTGACCTTGACCTCATTTTCATGGTTCAGTGGTCAAAGTTAAGTTTTTAGCTCACCTGGCCCGAAGGGCCAAGTGAGCTTTTCTCATCACTTGGCGTCCGTCGTCCGTCATCGTCGTTAACTTTTTACATTTTGAACTTCTTCTAGAGAACTACTGAAAGGAATGAAACCAAACATGGCATGAATGTTCCTTATGAGGTGCTGACCAAGTGTTGTTACTTTGTAGCGGATCCATCATCCAAGATGGCCGCCAGCGGGGGACTTAGTTTAACATAGGACCCTATGGGAAATACATACAATTGTCTTCTTTTAGAGAACCACTGAATGGAATGAAACCAAACATGGCATGAATGTTCCTTAGGAGGTGCTGACCAAGTGTCGTTACTTTGAAGCTGATCCATTATCAAGATGGCCGCCAGCGGGGGACTTAGTTTAACATAGGACCCTATGGGAAATACATACAAATGTTTTCTTTTAGAGAACCACTGAATGGAATGAAACCAAACATGGTATGAATGTTCCTTATGAGGTGCTGACCAAGTGTTGTTACTTTGAAGCCGATCCATAATCCAAGATGGCAGCCAGTGGGGGACTTAGTTTAACATAGGACCCTATGGGAAATACATACAAACGTCTTCTTTTAGAGAACCACTGAATGGAATGAAACCAAACATGGCATGAATGTTCCTTATGAGGTGCTGACCAAGTGTTGTTACTATGAAGCTGATCCATAATCCAAGATGGCCACCAGCGGGGGACTTAGTTTAACATAGGACCCTATGGGAAATACATACAAATGTCTTCTTTTAGAGAACCACTGAATGGAATGAAACCAAACATGACATGAATGTTCCTTATGAGGTGCTGACCAAGTGTTGTAACTTTGAAGCTGATCCATCATCCAAGATGGCTGCCAGCCGGGGACTTAGTTTAACATAGGACCCTATGGGAAATACATACAAATGTCTTCTTTTAGAGAACCACTGAATGCAATGAAACCAAACATGGCATGAATGTTCCTTATGAGGTGCTGAACAAGTGTTGTTACTATGAAGCTGATCCATAATCTAAGATGGCCGACAGCGGAGGACTTAGTTTAACATAGGACCCTATGAGAAATACATACAAATGTTTTCTTTTAGAGAACCATTGAATGGAATGAAACCAAACATGGCATGCATGTTCCTTTTGAGGTGCTGACAGAGTGTTGTTACTTTGAAGCTGATCCTTCATCCACGATGGCCGCCAGATGGGGACAATGTTTAACAAAGGACCCTATGGACAATACATACAAATGTCTTCTTTTAGAGAACCACATACTGAATGGATTGAAACCAAACATGGCATGAATGTTCCGTATGAGGTGCTGACTAAGTTTTGTTACTTTGAAGCTGATCCTTCATCCATGATGGCCGCCAATGGGGGGACTTCCTTTAACATAAGACCCTATGGGAAATACATACAAATGCTTCTTCTAGAGGTGCACTGAATGGAATGAAACCAAAACATGGCATAAATGTTTCTTATGAGGTGCTGATGAAGTGTTGCTACTTTGTTGCCGATTTACTGTTCAAGATGGCCACCAGGATTTTTGATTAAATTACAGGACCAATATTAAACCAAATTTAACTTAACTCATTATTAGGGTATCTGTTATGATTTTAATCTATTTTTACATGATTTCCAAAACCAAAGTAGAATCAGGTGAGCGACACAGGCTCTTGAGAGCCTCTAGTGAAGTTTTGGTCTTTTTTTCTAATACTATATGCAATAGGTCAACTATATTTGGTGTATGGTAATATTTTATGATGTACATGTCAGTCTCGCAGGTTTTTTTTTTGTCTCGCCTGCGACGAAAGTCGCAGTAAGTGAGACATAGGTATTACTATCCGGCGATGGCGGCGTAAACTATTTGTTTAAAGCTTTATATTTCAGAAGGTAGAAGACCTGGATGCTTCATACTTTGTATGCAGATACCTTATGTTACGAACTTTCCGTCTGTCATATGTCCAATGTCCTTGACCTTATTTTCATGGTTCAGCGACTGCTTGAAAAAAAAGTTTAGTTTTTTTGTTATGTAAATTTCTCACTTATTATGAGTAATAGGATAACTATATTTGGTATATGGGTTCCTTGCAACGTCTACATGTCCATCAGACAGGGTTCACCTGACCTCAGCCTCATTTCATGGATCAGTGATCAAGGTTAAAGTTACGTGATTAGGTCCGTTTCTCAGATACTACAAGCAGTAGGTCAGCTATATGTGGTGAATGGAATGATTATAAGGGATACATGTCAGTCTGGCAGGTTTCATCTGACCTTGACCTCATTTTCACGGTTCATTGGTCAATGTTAAGTTTTTTGTGTTTTGGTCTGTTTTTCTAATACTATAAGCCACTGGTCAACTATATTTGGTGTATGGAATGATTGTAAGGTGTACATGTCGGTCTGGCAGGTGTCATTTGTCCTTGACCTATTTTCATGGTTCATTGGTCAATGTTAAGTTTTTGTGTTTTGGTCTGTTTTTCTAATACTATAAGCAATAGGTCAACTATATTTGGTGTATGGAATGATTGTAAGGTGTACATGTCTGACTGGCAGGTGTCATTTGTCCTTGACCTCATTTTCATGGTTCATTGGTCAATGTTAAGTTTTTGTGTTTTGGTCTGTTTTTTTAATACTATAAGCAATAGGTCAACTACATTTGGTGTATGGAATGATTGTAAGGTGTACATGTCTGTCTGGCAGGTGTCATTTGTCCTTGACCTCATTTTCATGGTTCATTGGTCAATGTTAAGGTTTTGTGTTTTGTGTCTTTTTTTTCAATTACCATAAGCAATAGGTCAACTTTATTTGGTGTATGGAATAATTGTAAGGTGTACATCTCTCTGACAGGATTTATCTGACCTTGACCTCATTGTCGCAGATCTTTAAAAATGTTAAGTTTATGTGATACTTGTTGTAGAACCTTTATCTTTAAAACTTTCAACATGAAATCAATGGTCAGTAAATCAGGTGAGACATTTCAGCATGTGCACTCTTGTTTACCTTGACCTCATTTTCAGGGTTCATTTCTCAGTGTTAAGTTTTTGTGTTTTGGTCTGTTTTTCTTCAACTATAAGCAATAGATCAACTGTATTTGTTGTATGGAAGGATTGTAAGGTGTATATGTCTGTCTGGCAGGTATCATCTGACCTTGACCTCATTTTCATGGTTCATTGGTCAATGTTAAGTTTTCATGGTTAAGTTTGTTTCTTAGATACTATAAGCAATAGGTCAACTATATTTAATGCATACATTGATTGTAAGGTGTATATGTCTGTCTGGCATGGTTCATCTGACCTTGACCTCATTTTCATGGTTCATTGGTCAATGTTAAGTTGTCTTGGAGACTGTTTCTTAGAAACTATAAGCAATAGGTGAACTATATTGGTTTATTATACTTCATGTCAAAATGCCAGACTTTGATTGGTTTGATAGGGATACAATTTACTCTATTACCCTTCACAGAGACACTTAATCAAATGTGCGCTTTATTGAATACAGATGGTTGTTATGTACAAGACGTCATAGTGCATTTCTTTAAATTTGAAAATCAATAGACAGTAATAACAGAACATTCAGTATAATAAATTAAATAACACATATCTGAGAGGGTGATAGAGCAGATTGTTACCCCTCGAAAAGACATTGTCAACCTTGGCTTCGCCTCAGTTGACATATGTTTTCTCGGGGTAACAGTCTGCTCTATCACCCTCTCAGCTATGTGTTATTTATATGTTATTGAATGATTGTAAGGTGTTCATGTATTTCTCGTTTGGTTTATCTGACCTTGACCTCATTTTCTTGGATCATGTTAAGTTTATGTGATACTCGTAGTAAAGCTTTATATTTAGGACTATCAACATAAAATCTATGGTTAGTAAAGAAGGCGAGACATTTCAGCGTGTGCACTCTTGTTTTACTAAAACATTGTAATAGTTATTTCGTCTTCCTTTTTTTATTAAGTTACTATTATTATTGCTCAAAGGAATAAAAAGTGATCAATAAATTTTAATAATATCATAGATTTTTCAGTGATAAATTTATAGTACAGATTTCAAAAATCATATCAGAGATGTATATTATTTTATCATGACCCTATTCATTAAAGGGGTGTTGATCTGGTCATATGTTGTTCAGTTCTATAGTTATTATTATTAGTGTGAATTTCTGAGTGATGTATCATTAACACATGTCACAGAGTTCGCGAAAACTTATTTTGACCCGTCGGTCATGGGACCGACAAAGCATGATTATTTGTCAGTCCTACAAAATTTTAGCCAGTCCTACAAAATCTCTCAATTTTATCCTGAAAAAAAATTGATAACATATTTTATCGAAAAATAACTTTATTAATATTAGTTTTATTCTTCGCACCCACAGGCAAATTAACAATGAAAGACCAGTTCAGGTCTTCTGATTGTTCTTATTTAAAGTCATCTTCACTATCCATTTCATCATCTGAATCACTTTCTCGGCTGTTACAGTATTTGTTTGCTCCATTGTAGGGTTCAATCGCCGATTGTTTGCCAGGGATGGCTCTATGGACAAATTAAGTAGGCCACGTGTAGATCGCCGCTTTGGTTTGTTTATAATAAATCCGTAAACCAGTACCGGAAATTGGCAGCAGATACATCTGATAACCGATGTAAACACTTATTGGAAACAGTTGCGGTACATCTAATAACCGATGTAAAAAAGTGCCGAAATATGCACTACAACGGCCGTTTTTACATCGGTCATTGGGACCGGCACTAGCCTTCAAAATACTGGTCCGAGCCTCATTTTGACCGACAGGACCGACAGGACCGACCATTTTCGTGAACTCTGATGTCAATCTCGGTTACATAAACCACCATTAACTTAATTCACTGTAACTACAAAGGTACAGGAATAAAATTGGTTCATAAGAGTCATGTAGGGTTGTTTTCCCTAGTTCCCCTTTGCTTTAACATACACTTTTATAGAGAAAAAATCTTTCCAGATCACTGGTCAAAGAATTGTTCTTTGACATCCTTGGAAACAAAACAACAATTTTATTAACAATTAACTGTCAATGTATTATAAACATATGGTGTTATATAAATCTTCTTTCTACAGGATGCAAATGGATCAATGGGCCTAACCTCTGGTGGTATAAGGAAAGAACCCCTTGAGATGTGTCCAGGGGAGACTGTTGTAAAAATAGTGTCTGGAGGAGATCATTTAGTCTGTCTAACTAACAAAGGGGAAATATTTACAGGAGGTTGGCACATCATAACTTGTCCTTTAACATGGAATTTTATTTACTTAAGTTAAAATAACAATACCTTGTGTGTAGACTTATTTGAAAGCATTCTATTTCAGCTAATTGCAAACTCATTGATAATAGATGTACTGAATGTAACTGATATTTCTGTATTTGTGATGTAAAATTGCAAGTGAAGTTATGAAATGTCTTGAATATTCTCAAACGCAAAATTTTGCAGACGTGTCTGATTAAAAAAAACATTATTAAAAAAACTTTATAAAGTTGAAACTGTTCCAATTTAATGCATCTAGATGGAAAAGGGGAAGACAATCAAATTAGTAATTTTTGTGCAATTGTCACTTGGATATAGAAATATCAGTTTTCAAGAGAGAGGGTGAAGTACCTTGATTCTTTAGGGGATTGTTTTGGTTGGCAGTTGTTTAAATTATCCACATATTTAGATTTGTATTCTTATTTATAGATTAATGACAAAATGGAAATTCCCAAACAACATTGGCAATGACTGTGTTCCAACTTAAATTGAACATTCACAAGACCTATAGAATCAAATGCTTGGTCCTGCCAATGGGGACTTTGTATTGCACTCTTATTTTTGTATATGTTGATCACATAAACAGCAGAAGTTCAACAAAATCATTTAATTTCTTTTGAAAAAAGTGAATACTTTGCCTTTTTAACTTATGTATGACTAATGATGAATTCACAATATTCATAATTATATAAGAAACTTTAAAAGGTCTTGTATGGTTTTTTCAGGCTGCGCAGAACAAGGCCAGTTAGGAAGAGTAGCTGAGTGCTTTGCAGGACGAGGAAGCAGGAGGGGTGTAGGTAAGGAACTCATATTTAGGATGTTAGAAGCTCATCAAATTAAAAAAAAATAAAGATATTGAGTGACCCTCAGCATATTTCTTTATATTAATCAAATGTGTTCACTTTTGTTTTTAACATTTTTAGATAAATGACCAGTAAAACTGTTTGCTGTCAGATATATTTATAAATTTCAGAATAAATTTTATAGAATAGAATAAAAGAAATATTGAAAACCCCTTTGTACTTAAATTAGATTGACAGCTCTGGACAGTTTTAATTTGTCATTTTTTTATACGCCCGTTTACAGGACGTATTATGGTACACCATTGTCTGTCCTCTGTCATCAACATCATGGACAATAACTCAAAAACGCTTGAACCAATTTGCATGAAACTTTGTTTATATCTATTGACGTGAGCTCCCTTTTGGTTTTTATAAATTTGGATTTTACGTTTCCGAGTTATGGGGGTTTTATTCATTAAAAAAGGGATATTTTCTAGTTTCCGACAATAACTCAAAAATGCTTTGAGCAGTTTTCATGAAACTTTGGTGAATTGTTTACATCTATTGATGTGAGCTCCCTTTTGATTTTTATAAATTTTAGAATTTAAGTTTCCGAGTTATGGGGTTTTATTCATTAAAGAAGGGGGATTTTCCAGTTTTCGGACAATAACACAAAAAGTTCTTTGAGCAGTTTTCATGAAACTTTGGTGACTGGTTTATATCTATTAATTTAACCTCCCTTTAGTTTTTATAATTTTCTGATATGACATTGAGGAGTTATGGAACTTTATTCTTTGAAAATGAGACTGTTGTATCATGCGCTCAAGGTGCAGCTCTTTATTATTTTAGTTAATGCTATCTAGATTTTCATAGCTTGAAATAATTACCATTAGATATCTAAACATTGTTTATCACTAAACATTTTTTTTTTCAGATTCTATATTAAAAATGGGGCCTGTACGGTGCCGAATACACAGTAGTAGAAAGCATGCCACATTTTCAGACATCTGGGCAGGACAATATGTTACCTTTGCCAAAGAAAAAGAGTCCGGTGATATTTATTCTTGGGGACTTAATAACTACTTTCAGATAGGTTAGTATGATGAATCCTTTCATTATAGAGTAAACATGATACAGGTTATAGGTTATTAAGGGTTCTAAAAACATCTGAATGGATTAAAAAAACAGAAATGAAAGAGAGTATTTCTTCCTCAAGATAATCCAGACTCATAAATGCAATACTTATATAGTAGCTTTCTTTATAAATTATCAAGTTTACTAAACCATCATTATGATTTTGTTTTATTAAAGCAGATTTATTGTGGATATACAGTGAAACGTATGTTGATACAGTTTAAGTGTGCTTATTTAGCAGTGTTTTTGATTGAGGATAAACAGATAGAAAAGACTGGATTTAAGTATTGTATGCATATAAAAGCTAACTAATATTTTCATTTTAGGCTTTGATGATATGCAGAACAGATTTATACCAGAGTGGGTTCCATCATTTGCAGCTCATAATAAACAATGGACCAAAATCCAAGCAGGACAACATCATACCATGTTGTTAGATGAGGAAGGTAAGTATATAACAGATAAGAAGGGAGTTGATCATAGAGAATCTCTTTCACTCCCAATTGTTAAATGTCACATTTCTGATTCTCACATATTAAAGTAGAAAAGATTTAAAAAGTAGCATTTGCACCTTGAATGTGGGAGGTTATGGGTTCAATCTGACTGGGTCAAACTCGACTAAAAAATTGGTATTTGCTTCTTTTCTACTAACCATGCAGCATTAAAGAGCAAGAGTAGTTGGGTTGGAGATGGAACAGTGTGAATAGGTAGGGTGACATATCTTCCTGTGGACTATTATGTTGTGAGCTATCACACTAAAAAACAGAATTTATGACTTGTATAAGCAGGGTTATTTTATACCATTTGTTCACTCTTCAAAATTACAATAATAAATGCACTCATTTTAAGGAATAACTGTACTGCATTTGACGAGTTGCCACTGTCAAATCCAAAATTGATGGTATCAACTCTTCAAATACAGTATTATTATTCCTATTTTAATGCAATGCTCTAAAATGTATAAAAATAAACATTTCATTATCCTGTAAATGTGGAGTTGATGGGGGACGCCATCTAATCAAAATTGGCTTTACATGCCTAATTTGCATTAGAATTTTGAATTTACAGTATGTAAAATTTGCTGCTGACATTAATCAATCGTCACATTTAAAGAGCACTGTAGACCATATCTTAATTTTCCAGTCTTTTATGGGGTCAAATCCATAAATAAATGCATTATGTGCTATTTTATGGTTGTAGGAAAAGTGTATACGATAGGAAGAGCAGAGTATGGCAGGTTAGGATTGGGTGAGAAAAGTGGAGAAATGTCAGAGCCCACACTAGTAACAAAATTAAGTGATAAGTGTATAGACATTGCTGCTGGACAGTCTGTGTCGCTGGCATTAACAGCAGATGGTAAGTTTCATAATTAAGGATAAATCTTCTTACAGATTTACAGATGTTAAACAGGGCTCACGCTACAGGGCAACTGGGGTGAGGAAGTCGCTTCCTGTCTGTCACTTCGCCTTTCCAGGCTGAAAAAAAGAGAAATCTAGTTGACAGGGTGTTCACAACAAGTGCTTTGGTCATCAACAATTTTCCATTTTTGCCAAGTCGATGAAACAGCAATTTTTCATTTATAAGTAAAGAAATAAACATAAACATAAGCTTAAATAATTTATTTCTTTAGAAAAGAGTTAAAAGCATCAACTTTACAGTTTGGTTGTATGTTATTTCAAAGAAACAATTTTTTATGAAGTATTTTCTTTCACTTCTGGTACTTTTTACTCTAGAGCTTTTATCAAAACAATCTGATTTTTGGCAAAATGAATTTGTTACTTCATTAAAACATGATAAAAATTGCCTTAAGTTAATGTTTCATCCATTTACTGCATTAAAAACAGCATATTCCATTCTAAATCGCTTGTCAAGCATTATTTATTTTTGTAAATTTGTCTTCTGCCATTGAAATATTTACACAGATCAGACTCCTGTGGCAGAATAACTAAGAGCAAAATCTGTATTCTTACAATAATAACTACAGACGCACGAATGGCACAGCTGCCAGAAGAGTAATGATCCAAAAAGTAAAATTTTCGCATTCCAGGCGCATTAACTTTTGGTTAGATCTCCTTGTTAAATGTCTATATTTCCATGTAAATGCATTATTTCAATTTACTGATGTAAGTTACTAAAATTTGTTAAATTTATATATCTTTTTAATGAAATACAATAAATTTCATAAACAGAATAGTTTTCCTCATTGAATTTTAATTGATATTTATACCCCCACTTTAAAAAAAGGGGGGGGGGTTTACTGTTTTACCTCTGTCTGTCCTTCCGTCGGTCCATCCGTCCGTCCCATGAATATTTTCGTCGCATTTTTCTCAGGAACTACTTGACAAGGATTTCTGAAGTTTGGTTTCAGGGTTTATATAAGTAAGTTACACCGTGTGATGCGTTTTCAGATTCATCACTCAACAACTTCCTGTTTACCGAACACTTGTATTATTTTACACATGATAGCCAAGTTGAAAATTTTCGTCACATTTTTCTCAGGAACTACTTGACAAGGATTTCTGAAATTTGGTTTCAGGGTTTATATAAGTAAGTTACACCGTGTGATGCATTTTCAGATTCATCACTCAACAACTTCCTGTTTAACGAAATATTTCGGCTGGGGTATCATCAGTGAGCAGTAGCTCACAGTTTTATTGATACTTTTTTTTCCTTTTGTTAAAAAAAAGAATAGTAAGTAGTTTCTGACAAGAGGATACATATAATTGTTTAACTATAAATGACAATTTAAGACACAAACTGAAACAACTGTTACTTAATAATATTCTCAGGTATGATTTGAACAATATAAAAAAAAAGAAGTAAATATATAGGATACATATGGCCCTTTACATTATTGTAAAAACCAAACATTGCAGTGCCTTGAACGAACGAGCACTTCTCTTTTTAAGTCTCACCACTTATACCTATATTTCTGAGGTAATGTGTGCCATATTAAAAAACAGAGACTTGTTAGAATTTATTTTGCTAAATCAAAGAGCCACTTTGAAAATTTGTTGAAACCTAGATGAAAATTTCAAGTGAGTATTTGCTTCCCAGTGAATCTAAGAACTCTGAATATTTTCTTTCGATTGTTGACTTGAAATTAATACATATATATGCTCACAAACTTTTGAAGTTATTACACATTGGCTTTTGATAAAATTTGAAGTTAGTTCTGTATACAGCTACAAAGGAGCATATGAGAAATAGATGAATGATACAATGTGACAGTCCTCCATAAAGTATACTGTTAGACATGCCTTTATTGACAACTAAAAAATACTAAAATCCAAATTCAACAAACTTTGTTTCATTTAAATTGTCTGGGGAAAAAAAAGGCATACTTGTTTGCTTGACACACTTAATGAGATTATTAGAATTCAAATGAATGTCAGTTTGTCTTTACCCATGTTACCCAAGTTATTCAGAAACCAAACCAAGTGCACCATGACAGTCTGATTACTACTACTGGGTCAAAGCCACTAACTCCCTTTTGATTATACAGGTCCACATGAATTTAAACATCTTTGGTTCCAAACTTTAGACTCCAGTGTTAATGGTGATGTAATTGTCTTTGTGTTCATATAGGTACTGTCTATGGATGGGGCATGGGAACTAGTAGACAGCTTGGTACAGGAAATGAGGAGGATGTATGGGAACCAGTCAAGATGTCGGGGAAACAATTGGAAACCAGGTAAGAACAAGTAGTTGCTTCAGATAAAACTCTCATATATTGGTCTATGTAAAATAAATTGGGTACTGCAAGGAGTTTTCTTCTATTTTTAGGTCATTGATCATGACCACGATCAAAATATGTTTCCCCATTATTGATCCTTCTTTACAAGTTGGGATTGATAGATAAGAAGGAATATTTTACCAGACAAAATACACATTTAAATATAAAAACAAAGAAGGCAATTGTGATATTTACAGTCATTTCAAAACACAGATCAAATAGTGAAACGGGAATCTTGAAATTACCAGATATGAAAAAGTGATGGTTAATTTTAGTATTAATATTTTGGATTAGGGATATTTTCAGTTAGTAGGATTGGATGAATGGGAAATAAATTTTCTTTTTATTGTGGTCTTAAATTGTTGCAGATTATATTAGTGAGTGTTTTGGTAAATGTTTGTTTTTCAGCAGGGTCCATCTAGCCTCTTAGTTTCTTTTTCAACTTCAAAGTTTCTTTGCCTTTTATTAATATTGATAGGACCATGATAAATTATTGTTGTTTTCCTCTAACACTACCGGGTCAGTTTTTACCCTCCTGGTCAATTCTTTTTTTTGCAGATGAAAAAAACTGTTGCTCTGGTTTCTTTTGACAATTTTCAATGATACTTTTTAAAATTGTCTGATAATCTCTTCAAAGTGTGTCAACTTATTATTATTGTTCCTTTAGTTTACATAGCTTATACCACAAGATAGAATGTAAAACAAGAATTAACTGTCAGGTATAGTGAAACTATACAAAAAAAAAAAAGTAAAAATAAAAAGTTTTTCCTGCCTGCCGGGCCTTCATAATTTTCATATGTTTGATAAGAGAAAGTTACGAAACCAACATTCATTTTTCTATGGCCTAGTGGATGAAATAAAACAATTGATGTTTTAAACAGTGATATTTATTTTTCAGAACTGTTGTGGGTATATCGGCTGGAGGACAGCATACAGTTTTATTAGCAATAGACAAATAGACAAAAAGACAAAGTCATAGCAATAGAAAATGTCAGGCAGATTCCAGGCTGTAAATGTTTGAATGAATAAGAATGTTAAATGAAAGTATAAGATAATAATTATTGGATATGATTGTTTCCATTTAAAGTAGAAAAAATTTAAAACAAGTTTAATGTTTGACAGAATGTTCTTATTAATGTCTGGCTTGTTGCAGAATGCGAAACATAGGGATTACAAATTAAAACATCTGTGATATAATTTTTTTCAATTTCAAATATCTTGCTGTATAGCATCTTGTCTGTCAATAAATAGCAACATTGTATTTAACATGTTGTTTATTTAAAAAATAAGATGCAAATAAACTAAATTTTTGTCAAAAAGTCTTTATTTATATTTTGATAACATGAATTCCAATACAGAAGTTCCTTAGTGTTGATTAATGGCAAACATGCTTATGGGAGTATTTTTACTTTCTTATATGGAAGCTGCCATCAGACATTCTATGATCTTATCCTAGGTTTTAACCATGGTTTTATACAGTTTTATCTTTGAAGTTGATTCAGAATCATAACAGGCAGCAAACACAATAAAGATCAATGGTGATATTGATGATCACATAGAATGAAATGGTATTGTATGTATTTGTGTACGTGTGAAATGACTTGCTGAGCAAATTTGACAAATTTTATAACATAACCAAAAAGTTTTATATATTTTTAGTGCCATTGTTTTGTTACATTATAGGTCTCACCAGATTTTCAATTGATTTTTAACTTCTGTTTTCAACAAATATTGAATATTGTTTTTGGCTTAAACATCTGATTTAAACAAAAAAATATATCTCATACCTGATTGTCATGATTGTAGTGACATTTCTTCTTCATTTCTTCTAAAAAAAAAAAAATTTGTGAATATTGAAATGAAAAAACTTTACGGTTGGTTACTCTTTATCTAACTTTAAAAGGTAAAACGTATACATTTTGTTTTTTGTTTGATATTTGTTTCCTGAAAATGTAAAAGAGTTGCTGATAGCATATTTAAGTCCAACTTTAAAATAAAAAATTGAACTGTTGCTGCCATAGAATAGAGGAAAGATCAGGAAATAATTGCTTTACATGCAATGTTTACTGTTTTTTTTTACCTCTTCCACTCCATATAAGAAATTTTGCTTATGTATTCATGGGACTTTTTATCAACCCTTTTTCATATTAAAAAGAGAAATAAATTTTTATCTTTATTTGTTTCACAAAAAAATAATTCAACCACCTTAAATACATCAATGTATATTTAGTAAAAGTAAAAGCTAGGTATCAATAAAATGTGAAATTCATTCATACTTCATTTATAATGGCTGTTGTAATAAAACTGAAAACAAGTAATACGGAATTAAACCTGTTCTAATGAAATTTTGGTTTCTTCAACCTTAAGATTGTGGGCCAGGAAATTAGGGTGATATTTTGATACCCAATAAACAGACAATACTGATCACTGTTAGTTTATGGTATGTACTTGAAAAATACTCTACAACATTGTCTACTGATCTTGCATTTCCTTATTTGGAATATAAAACAAGCTGGTTTTTTTTGATTTGCCATACATGTGGATTTATTTTAATTCGTTTATTTTCTGTTAGCTTATCCTGTACTCTTTATTCTGCCTTAAGAATATAAGATATATTGATTCTACCACTGCATCAAATGTGATACAATATTTCTGAGATCTGAGAAAGTATAAATTTGCCAAGAATAAGTGAATACATTTTTTATTCATACCTCAGGTTATCTACAACTTCCCTAATCTCAGGGTCAATCATATATCATTGTATGACATGTAATAAGATCTTACTTATATCATTGTATGACATGTAATAAGATCTTACTTATCTCATTGTATGACATGTAATAAGATCTTACTTATATTTTTTATTGTCAAATGAAGTCATTTGTAAAACTGTTTGTCTACAACATTAATGATATGCATGTAACAAGCTTTAACCATTATTATGTTTGAGTAGATATAAGTTCCTTCCAAATAGCTCATTTATTTCTGGAAAATTCCTTATAAAAATTGTTACCATTTAATTTTGAATACTTACATATTAGTTAACTTTATAATATTGTTTTTAACTAAGAAATATATATTTTTGCTTGAAACAGAATTGAAATTAATTGAAGCATGCTATTTTAGGACTGTTACCATCAAATGTATCAAATCATTTCATAATTAAAAAAGTTAATATATCAAGTTCATGCCACGTAGATTTCTGACTAGTATAACCTTGGTCTTTTAAGGTATGAATTAACTCTCCTCATAATAAGAAATATTATCCAGTATTTAGCAAATCATCAGAGGAAATTTGAATTTAAACATAGAAAATTTGGGTATATTATATTTAAGGGTCGGAGCGTTCTTCTCAGACTGTTAACAGATAATGACATCTTTTTACATCACAACATCAGATCAGACATTTTTGTTTATATAGAATTTTGACTGGTGAATGACCAATGCTAGTCTGACTGACAGCATAATTGTGTCATTATTAACCATATATATATATATATATATATATATACCACAATGTTATAGCAGTGAATTAATTTTATGTGAGGAAGCTGATAGAATATTGTAAGCAATAATATAGCAGACATTATTTTTAATAGTTCACATGTACTTTATTGATAGAACTTAAAGGTTTATTGACTAACTGGAATTAAATAATTATATCCACTGAAATTGAAACCCCTCATGGTTGTTAAACAACTTTAATTACATCAATGAATTCATAATGAATTTTTAGATTTCAGCTATTTTTATATAAATATGAAATGATCTCTGCTGAAAGTGAAGATATAGTAATAACTTGGTTCATTTTTAGAAAGTTACAATTGATGTATGTTTGTTTATTTGTGAAATGTGCTGCACTTGGTGGAAATGTATAATTTTTTAGTAACAATTTTGCATGTGCTCATTTTTTCCCCTAAAAAATTGTATTCAGTTCAATATTGTAACTTTTTAGCCATTATAATTTTTATGAATTAAAATATAAAACAATGTTTGCATTTTTAAAATTTAGTTGGGATGTGAAGAAAACCATCTAATCTGTAGTCATCACCATGCATTCTTCAATGGAAAGAATGTCCAGTCATTGTCATAGTAGTCATCACCATGCATCCTTCAATGGAAAGAATGCCCAGTCATTGTCATAGACATCACATACTCTTCATGATTCTGTAAATGACTTTCTGTCATTTATACAGAAGCCATTGGGTAAACATCATTGTAAGAAACTCATCTGTTCAAAATGGTTTGCAGCTGGAAGTTGAGCAAGCATCAATCAATCTAGATGAAATGTGGTATTATTAATTCAAAAAGCAGAAATCAAACTAGACACACAATTTTGAAATACAAATGGATTCAGTTTAGGATTATGTCAATTGTCAAAATTTGAAAAATATATAGTCTTCAAATGGATTAAGACTGAACCTCACAGCATTTACAAATTTGGAAAGATAAGAATTGAAACATTTATTGGTTGTATGAACATTCATGCAACGTCTATCTTCGAAGACCCAAATGTTGCTAATCACCTGTCGTCTCCATGACGCATATTTAGTTTTTTCTCTCTGCCAACAAAGCCCCAAAACAATGTCTTTGTTTGTAAATCACAATATGCAACCTGCTTGAGAAGGGAATAACTTGTTGATAGGTCACTTGGAAACCCCCCAAAAATAGTATACTTCCAGGAAATCAAGAACAATCAGGTCTGTTTTATAATTCTTTTGAATCTCAATCAGATAAAGAACTGGATCTTCCTCTGCTCTAATGGATTAGCATCCTTGCAACAAAACATATTGCTGGGTCTGTCCCACGAACCTCTTGCCAAGTTCAATCAAAACAGGTCTTCAGAGTTGCTTTGAAACTACATATTCCAGGAGTGATGGAATCAAATGTGGATATTGAAAATTTTCCTGGTCCCATTGTATGAACATATTTGACTTCTCTACCCTTTATACAATTATTCCTCATCATCTAAACTGCTAAGGCTGATTGAATGACTGTTACATTTAAAAAAAGATGGTAGAGGCAGATATAAATATCGTGTTTTAGATGGACAAATAGTTCTGTTTAGAAAAAAGCTGACTGAAACTGACATCATGATGACTTGATTTTTTAAGCTCATCTGGCCCAAAGGGCCAAATTATCTAATGACACCACTTGTCATCCATAGTCCATCATCGTGAACTTTTACAAAATCTCTGAAATCACTCGACCAATTTCAATAAAACTTTTAACTGAATGATCCTTAGGTAATTCAGTATAAAGTTTGTGTTTTTGATTCTGTTAATTAACCAGTTATGGCCACCATGGCTAAAAATAGAACATAAGAATAAAATGCACGAAAAACATTATAGAGAATTACCGGGAATGACGAGATCTACCTCCATCATAATTCCAATTATATTGAACATATAATAGATATGTAGAAATTGTAACCCAGAAAAAATAATCAGCAATACAAAATCGAAAAGTATGCCAATATGACCGAACTCATTGATTTACCCCTTGTATTAGTTATTGTCCTTAAATGGCAATTTTTTTTAAATTTGAGTTTTTGACTATTATCTTGAAAACTATAATAGATAGGTAGAAATGGAAGACCGCAGAAAGATCTTTAGTTATTGTCCTTTAATGACGATTTTTGACTAAAATTTCAGTCTATTTCAATTTTTGACAGGTGATTGATTCATGCTCTTATGAGCCTCTTGTTTTATTATCCGATTATTTGTAACCTTTAATGGAAGTGTTTTTTTTTGTCGAGCCTACGACTTTAGTCGAAAAAACGAGACATAGCTATCCTACATTCCGTCGGCGACGTCCACAAATATTCACTCTGTGGTTAAAGTTTTTGAAATTTTAATAACTTTCTTAAACTATCCTGGATTTCTACCAAACTTGGACAGAAGCTTGTTTATGATCATAAGATAGTATCCAGAAGTAAATTTTGTAAAAATAAAATTCCTGTTTTTCCGTATTTTACTTGTAAATGGACTTAGTTTTTCTGCCGGGAAACATAACATTCACTCTGTTGTTAAAGTTTTTAAAATTTTAATAACTTTCTCAAACTATCCTGGATTTGTACCAAACTTGGACAGAAGCTTGTTTATGATCATAAGATAGTATCCAGAAGTAAATTTGTTAAACAATTTTTTTCATTTTTTCCGTATTTTACTTATAAATGTACTTAATTTTTCTGCCAGGAAACAATACATTCACTCTGTGGTTAAAGTTTTTAAAATTTTAATAACTTTCTTAAACTATCCTGTATTTGTACCAAACTTGGACAGAAGCTTGTTTATGATCAAAAGCTAGTATCTAGAAAAAAAATTTGTTAAAATTTTGTACCTGTTTATCCGTATTTTACTTATAAATGGACTTAGTTTTTCTTCCAGTTAACATTAAATACAGTCTGCAGTTATTTTTTTAAAACATTTATTAGATTCATAAACTATCCTGGATTTATACCAAACTTTGACAGAAGCTTCTTACAATCAAAAGATAGTACTTATCTAAAGGAATATTTTTATTGATTTTTTTCCTCATTTTGTTGAGCCGTCGATTAACAGCAAAAGTAGGCGAGACACTGGGTTCCGCGGAACCCTTACGAATTTTTTCATAATTTTTTTTAAAAGATTTAGAAAGTCAGAATTTTGATTTTTCTGATCTTCATGTGTGTATACGCAGCGTATGACAATTTTAGTAAATGTTTCATGGGGGGGTAGCTGACAAACATGCACCTTTTAAGGAAAGATAAATATTACCAAATCAGGTACCATGTATGAATTGCCATTATAGAAAGAAAATGATGTATAAGAAATTTAAAAAAAATCAGTGGCAGTAAGAACTGGGAAGCATATAAACGTCAACGCAACTGTTACAAAACTGAAAAATATATCTATTAACCAATATTTTATAGAGATGTGTGCCGGGGGTCCGAAATCTAAGTATTTCTGGCCAACAGTGAAACCACAAATACAAATAAAGGTAATGTACGCGAAAATGAAAATGTCCTCTCTGAAAATCATGTTTTAATTACAAAACATGAGGTTTGTGAAATATTTAATTATTATTTGGTAAATGTTTCCAAGAATATTGGAAACAATCAAACAAAAGGTTGATGACCACCGGAGTATTCTGGCCATTTAAGATAATTTGCCCGATCTTGACGAAAACAGTTTTACCTTTTCCCCTATTTATCAAGATTTTGTTGAGAAACGGATATGTAAAATAATGTAAGAAAAGCTATTGGAATAGATTGTATTTCACCTAAATTACAAAATTTTTCTGAATCCGCCATTGTAAACCCTGTAACCGATATTGTAAACTGACCAATATCATCATCGACCTTACCTGACAGTCTTAAGGAAGTTCGAGTTGCACCTATTCATAAACAGAATAGTGTCCTAAATAAAAGGGAATTATAGACTGGTAAGTGTGTTACCGGCTATTTCTAAAAAAATTTGAAAAACGCAAAAGTACAATTCAAATTGAGAATGGAAATGGGGAATGCGTCAAAAAGACAACAACCCGACCAAAGAGCATAAAACAGCCCAAGGCCACCAATGGGTCTTCAACACAGCGAGAAAATCCCACATCGGAGGCGGGCTTCAGCTGCCCCCTCAACAAAGATGTGTACTAGTTCAGTGAAAATGGACGTCACACTAAACTCCGAAACATATAAATGAACTAAAATTAAAAAAACAAGACTAACAAAGGCCAGAGATCTCCCCCTACCCCATTCCTTTAGCCAATATGTCCCCCTCCCCTGTTTAACAAACAGAAAACAGTGTGTGAAAGTAAACCAACATTTAAATGGTATGCTTGATATATTTAAAGGGGTACCCCAATGTTCCATCCGTTGACCCATTCTATTTATATTTTAATAAATGGCTTGTTCTTTTTTGTTAAAAATTGTTTTTTATGGTTATGTTGATGACAATACTTTTTCAAAGTCTAGAAATTTCTTACAAGATGTAATTTCTGCTCTTGAGGAAAACAGCAATTATTTAATACAGTGGTTTTTGTCTTTCCTTCGACGAAAGTCTCAGTATACGAGACATAGGGATTACTATCCGGCGGCGGTATAAACTATTTGTATAAAACTTTATATTTCAGAAGGCAGAAGACCTGGATGCTACATACCGTGTATACAGATACCATATGTTACGAAGTTACTGTCTGTCATATGTCCATTGTCCTTGACCTCATTTCTATGGTTCAGCGACTGCTTGAACGAAAAAATATGTTTTTTTTGTGAGGTGAATTTCTCACTTATCATGAGTAATAGGGTAACTGTATTTGGTATATGGCTTCCTTGCAACGTCTACATGTCTGTCAGGCAGAGTTCACTTGACCTCGACCTCATTTCATGGATCAGTGATCAAGGTAAAGTTGCGTGATTAGGTATGTTTCTCAAATACTATAAGCAATAGGTCAACTATATTTGATGTATGGAACAATTGTAAGGTGTACATGTCTGTCTAGCAGTTTTCATCTGACCTTGACCTCATTTTTATAGTTCATTGGTCAATGTTAAGTTTTTGTGTTTAGGTCTGTTTTTCAAGTACTTTAAGTTAAAGATTAACTACAATTGGTGTTTTAATGGTGTCTTCCCGATTGTCCAACTTTTTGAAATTACAGGTACAAAAGTAATGAAATTTTTGGGACAATCGGGAATATGTTTTTGGGACAATTGGGAAGCTTAAATGTGGGACAATCGGGAATTGTTTTGATAGTGATTAATTTGTTTTTATAGTGTGTAGCAGGTAGTTACTGGTAAATAATTGGTGTAAATTATAAAATATGAAATAAAATGAACAAATAATCATGAATACATTGTATTTATGAATTTTATTTTGCACAGAAAAGGTACAATTGAAGTATCATCAAACATAAGACTATAATATTAAGTAAAAAAATATCACACATCAAGCACTTCTCAATTCTTCATAAATGTTTATTAAAGAGTTACAATTAAGTCCACATAATAAACAGTTTAATACAAGAAAGCCCACGTAATAAACAGCTTAATACAAGAGTCCTATTGACTGCACTTTACGCCAAATACACTGGGTATAGTGAAAGAAACCCTTTAATAGTGATTCCTGGAAAGGATGAAGTGGCAGAATTCTGGACAGTAGCTTTGTTATCAATAGAGCAAGTTGTTGGGTTCCGGTGAATCTGCCTGTGGGTGTAAGCAGTCTTCAGTAGTGTAAAGAATCTTATGTAAATGGCAACTAACCACCCTGGTAAAAGTTGTTTATACCTTTTTTTAAATTGCATGCATTATTTCTAAATTTATTTAAAAAACTTTAGAAAAAAAAAATGTAATTAAAATTACAGTATTGATTTTTGTTTTATAAATAAACGTAATATTATAGATATATTTCATAATTCATAAATGTTATATTATTTAATCAAAAGTGCATTAATCTTATGATTTACCAAAAAAACATATTTTATACTTTTATAAAATTTATACTAAATAATAGTTTGAACATGCAATAATTAATTCTTGTTTATTTACCAAAGCAAACAATAACTACGTGGTTTATTTAAGAACATTTTACTTCACAAAATAATGTAGGACAATCAGAACTTTTCATGTGGGACAATCAGAACTCTAAAAATTTAAACAGTGGGACAATCGGGAATAAACCGTTTTAATGATTGTAAGGTGTACATATCTGTCTGGCAGGTATCATCTGACCTTGACCTCATTTTTATGGTTCATTAGTCAATGTTAAGTATTTGTGTTTAAGTCTGTTTTTCAAATACTAAAAGCAATAGATCAGCTATATTTAGTGTAAGAAATAATTGTAAGGTGTACATAAGGCAGTACAAGTATCGAATTCCCTTCCCAATTAGGCCAGAACTATGACCTCTTTTGACTTATCAAGGTATAATATAAATTCCTGGTGTAGGGGTCAAAACATGATTTAATTGCAATTCATGCCGTGTCTATCCAGTGCTGCCTCATTGCTGAAATTTTTTCTTTTTTTTATTTTTGGCCTTTTGCTCTGCTTTTTGTCGAGCTTGCGAAATTTATTTCGCGAAAGCGAGACATAGCGATCTTAGATTCCGTCGTCGGCGTCGGCGGCGTCAACATTTAGGTTCAGTCTGTGGTTAAAGTTTTTTAGACATCAATAAATTTGTCAAACCTAAATGGAATTTTATGAAATTTGGACAGAAGCTTATTTATGAACAAATAACAATATTTAGAGCAAAATTTTGAAAATATTTATTTTCATTTTTCCGTATTTTACTGGTAATGGACTTAGGTTTTTTACAGTCAACATTCAGATTAAGTCTGAGTTTAAAGTTTTTTATACATCAATAACTTTGTCAGACCTACATGAAATTTTATGAAATTTGGACAGAAGCTTTTTTATGATTAAAAGACAGTAGTATCCAGAGCTAAGTTTTGAAAATATTTATTTTCATTTCCCATATTTTAGTGATAAATGGACTGAAGTTTGTATTTTTTTTAATTTCTGGCCTTTTGCTCTGCTTTTTGCCGAGCCTGCGAAATTTATTTCGCGAAAGCGAGACATAGCCATCCTAGATTCCGTCGTCGGCGTCGGCGGAGTCAACATTTAGGTTCAGTCTGTGGTTAAAGTTTTTCAGTCATCAATAACTTTGTCAAACCTTCATGGAATTTTTTTGTAATTTGGACAGAAGCTTGTTTATGACCAAAATACAGTATCCAGAGCAAACTTTTGAAATATTTATTTTCATTTTACCGTATTTTACTGATACATGGACTTTTGTTTCACATTAATTACTTTGTTAAACCTTCATAGAGTTTTATGAAACTTTGGCAGAAGCTTATTGATGATTAAGAGATAATGTCTGGAGCAAACTTTAAAATTTTTTTTTTTTTAATTTTTAGTATTTTTCTAATGGATGGACTTCGTTTTTTCACAGTTAACCATTACAGACAGTCTGGGATAAAAAAAATGACATGATAAATTTGTAAACCTTCATGGATTGTTATGAAACATGGACAGAAGCTAATCTTGAAGACCAAGAAATAGCATCGAAAGAAAAATTTAATTTTTTTTTCAAATTCTGTATTTTACTGATTAATGGGCTCACTTTTTAAGTCAACATTACACTTTTACACTGACAGAAACAATTGCAGGCGACACACAGGGTTCCGCGGAACCCCTTATAATTTGTTTTGCATTATAATATATTGCTGCTTCTAAATGCCAGTGATAAATGAACGATATTTGGTATGCAGTTGTATCAGCATTTGCATATCTTATTTCCACGGAAATTATTTGGGCTTGTACCTTAGACATGGATCATTGATTTTGGAATATTTTGCATAATTTATATATGAAAGTACCACATACCCACATTTCATGATTACACGTCAGAGTTCATTTATCATAACCATTCTAAGAGACCTACAATCCTATAACTTCAGTGATTGTATTGTGAGAATGAGAGCCTTCCACAAAAACATGCCACTGCATTGATCAAGTTTAACAACCAAATTCAGATATTGGATACTATTAGTAAGTAATATAGCCTCTATGAAAAGGAATGTCATTCTTGCATATTGTATGCGTCATTGACTGAATTAATTAAGTTTTATTGGTTTCAGATACTATAAGGGATCTACATTCTAAACTCGATTTATCGCTTTAAAAATGTATGTTGCGATCTAAAATAAGGGGATGTGGTATGCTTGCAAATGAGACATCTATCCAACAGAGTTCAAATGACGTTGATTTAAAGAACTATATGTCGCCGTACGGCCTTCAACAATGAGCAAACCTATACAGTAAAGTCTGCTATAAAAGGTCCGCCATAACAAAATGAAACAATTCAAACGAAAAAAAACTAACGGCATAATTTAAGAAAAATCAATAAACGAAAAAAATATGATAGACAGCAACCAACGGCAACCACTTTATACAAGGGTCCTGACATAGAAAGTGACGGGATTTAACATGTTTGTGATCACTCAACCCGTCCCTAACATGGGAGAGTGGTGTAATAGCACAACATAAGAACAATTGTGAAAATCAGTTGGAAATGGCGCGACTAATCAGATTGGCACGAAGCACAAAAACATTCAACACGAATACAAGGGGCATAAAGTACCGATCCTAGAGTAATCGTAAGCCTTATTTTAAAGATTAAGTGACATACAGTCATATTACTTTGTGCAAAGAGCAAGAATAGCAATTTCTTACGAAAAGGAGGTGGATGAGCTATATTTTACACTCCATAGATTATTATCATTTCTCAGATACTAGATGATCGCATTTTGGTCCCTTCTACACTGATGTTAAATTATATGGTGATAACTGGTTTAATAATATATATAAGGTCTTCAGGACGACAATAGTTATTTACTAAGGAATGGCTGTATGATTATGTAACTATCCAAATTCACTGAATAAAGAAAAATTGTATTATACCATTATTAACAATGTTGTTTTAATCTTAGCTTTAAGAAACTGTATTAGCTTATTTCGGGTGTCATACTTTAATCTTATATGAAGACTTATCAGATCTTAAATTTTGGCTATAAGTATCACCGTTAGAAAATTTATAAAGTAGATAATTATAAAATGCACTTCCCTTGTAAACATCCTTTTGCGCGAGGGTTTTGCTTTATGCATTTTTTTTATTGTGCGTATCAAGCGATCAAGATTTTGTACACTGAGTTGTGAATTCACGACAATTTCATGGCTGTAAACAAACCGATTTAAAAGAAATTCTTTCGACATACATATAAAGGTTTTTCTTAGAATTCAAAGTTCACCTCATTTCTTGAATTGGCTTGATGAACCCTAAATAATAAATGAAACAATAATAGCATTAGTGTGATAATAAAGTCACTTAAGTATTTGAACGACACAACTAACAATTTAATCAATGAAGCACAAATTCATGTATGAGTAGCCATGGTCTATTTGCTAAAGATTGTAACACTGCCCTTGCATCAGAGAAAAATCAAATTAAATCTAAAACATAGCCAATGAAGAAAAATGTAGGTAATATTAACCTATCATTTGCGGAACACTTGAAATCATCCCTTCGTAAATTTTACGGACGCCATCACGAGTTGGTTGACCGTTATGGAATAACCGTTTCACAGATGATATCGGATATTTTCCTTATGTCGTAACTACAATACCCTTCCCTTTTCACGAATGTGACCTACCGAATTAGACTATTTACCGGATTTGTAATAACATAAGCAACATGACGGGTGCCACATGTGGAGCAGGATCTGCTTACCCTTCCGGAGCACCTGAGATCACCCCCAGTTTTTGGTGGGGTTCGTGTTGCTTAGTCTTTAGTTTTCTATGTTGTGTCATCTGTACTATTATTTGCCTGTTTGTCTTTTTATTTTTTGGCCATGGCGTTGTCAGTTTGTTTTCGATCTATGAGTTTGACTGTCCCTCTGGTATCTTTCTTCCCTCTTATTAATTGTCCCATTGGCACATCTTTTACTAAAAAGATATATTGTTGTAGGTTTCTTAGTATCTGAGCTCTTAACTTTGACGTAAGACTTAAAACAAGCAGTTCAGCTTGATCTATTGCCACGCTCCCCAAACACGTCCTCATAAGTATTTGGTATGACTGTTGGTCTCAGAACAGACGTTTTAAAGTCAAGGTACAGTAAATACTGAATTTTCATAATTGAATTGAGTATCGTCTGAAGCTGAAAGCGTATGACATATTTACGTATAAGGCATACATTGACCAGTCCACAATTGCTATAATACCTATATTCATCATTATCCATTATAAAACCACTCATATCAGTTTTTTTACCTTTATAATATTACAAATATATCTTTATTTTTTCCGCATTTGCTCCAACTCGACATCTTCTTTTACACGATTTTGTATTGTAGGTCCAAAAAAATAAATGGTAATAAGAGCCATTACTGTATATGCTAGCAAAGACAGCACAATATGATCGGCACGAGGTTTGTGATTGATCAGTAACGGAGTCTGATATCTGATGTCTATCATAGCTGCGTTAAATTGTTCAAGAGTTCCAAGCGAAACCATAATGTGGAATATTTGATGTCCTTGTCCAATGAAATCAAATTTTCCAGGATAAAATTTCTCGGGTATATGACTAGAAAAAAAGAAAACAGATACAAGAATATAAACAAAAACAAGGGTGTGATGATTCGGTGATGATAATGTATTATTCATTAAACTGTCATAGTATCGAGCATTCACCACAGAATAAACTAACACACATTGAAATCCGAATGAACATATGTTCCATAACTTTCGCTGAAATGGATATGGTCGTCTGTAGCGAAGTTTGGAAATGGTGCAACAGAGGAACCCCAACCAGCTCATTACTACTACCACAGGTAGGAAACAGTGCTCCAACATTGCATAGTATTTCTCATGACAACTGCAGTAGTATACGAGTATACAAGCACCCAATGCATAGTATCCAATTCCCATGTAATCAAGAGTATAACATGTATAGTGATATATAGGAGATTTGGAGTGTAAGGTGTGCGCAAGGACGCTGAATAATGTGTACATAATAGTACCAAATGCAAAGCATAACAACACACAAATATATGTTGCGTCCTCTAAAGTTGTGATGCAGTTGTACGTTTTCAAAAATACGAAAATAAATGGCACTAGATGAGTCCAAATATTAACGGTTTCATTGTGAAATTGAAATATGCTCTTCAGGTAGTAAATGACCGTCTGGTATTCCAACCGATATCCATATAAGACTCCAGGTTCAACGTACATTAACGACACTTTATCCACAGTCACTGTTGGTATATGAATTGAAACTAAAATTCCTTTAAAGAGCTTTAGTATTTCACAGTAAGCCATGCTTTCTCTGTAAATATTAAATATATACATGAATACTTTTGTTCATAAGTAACGCTTGCTTACAGAATTTACCAAAATTGTTCAAAATTTCAATCTAGTTAAAGAAAAGAGAGAGAACGTCAGATAAACTTTAAAGTCGAGAATGTTGTGTGGTCATCATTATAAGGTTTCTGTTTACAAGAATTGTTTAAAAACACTACCATTAACAAATTGATAGATTTTTTTATAGAGTATAATTATTTCAAGTTGACAGGGGTATATATGTAGGACTCACACCCATATCGAGTTCCAGATCTATGGCTGATCCCCAATCTATATATGGTAAATATGACGTCATGCCATCCCAAATCTATAGCCGATTTTTAAAAATCCAAATCTATGGCAATTTTTCTAGTGACCTAATCTATGGCGTATTTCTTCTTTCCAAAGCTATGGCATGATATAAATGCGACACCCGTCGCAATGTCCGAAGGTAACGAAAAAGCCGATAGTAAGTGAAAGTTAGTGTTTGAAAAAAACGGATTAGGAGTACGACAACGGGACCATATTCATAATCATTTGTGAAATGGACCTTCCATAATGGTCAACCAAATCGTGATGGGGACCATAATATTTCCTAAGTGTGGAAGTAATATAAACAATTTGCCTTTTTACATAGACTTAACGCACAATTATCGGTGACGTTTTTTTGATTGTGTGTACCTGTGAACAAAAATCGACTTTAAATATAAGAAAAATACCGGAAAGTTCAAGTGTCATTTTGTTTAAAAAATCTTTAAAGCACTTAAGAATTTAAATTACAGATGGCTTATCGTTTCTTATTCTGTTTTGTCAATCTGCTGTCCGAATACTAACGAGAAAAATCTTATATTATCGTGTAGACGGGTAACATTCTAATATTTAATTGGGCGTTAATAAATCTTTTTTAACTGATAAGGATTTAAGTCTAAGTGATATCCTGTGATTTTATCTCTCACTTTATATAATTTGCCAGCCGTAGATGCTATAATATTAACTATAATTTCTTTCCTGAAATATTCGTTTTAAAAACAGCAGTGGGCTTTTATTCATCTTGGGATTAGGACGGTGCAGCATATAGTATCCCTCCTCTGGATAAAAGGCCACATATTCCTGTAAACCATCAAGAGGGAAATCGGAAAGTGTTTCCCTGTGTATTTGTTTGTAAAACTATCTGAGTCCCGGGTGATATGACGTTTTTTAATTGTGACGAGTTTACTCTTTCCCCCGGACAATTACGCAATTTCAAAATTTGCCATAGATTTACAGATGTTGATATATTTGCATATGAAAAAAATATTGTTACAGGCATTATTAGCTGGGATAACAACATTCAAAATGCAGGGTGTTCAAAGTATTCAAATATATGACTCGCTAAAATATTGGAGCATTTGGTTTCATCAAACTTGTTCATAAATGAATAGTAAAAAGGCACTGGCGGCGATTACCTTGAAAACGTAACAATAACAAAAAGTTATTATTACGTTGGACACTAATTGCCGGAATGCCAGGTTGGATTAGGAACCGATTAATTACGAACATAACAATAATATTTGTGTCTACGGTTACGTTGTGTTCTTGTAACTTTGGTGCATTTCAATGTATGCTGGGAATAGTAATATATTATGTCCCATATGTATGTGATTAATTAAAGTACAACTAGAAAACTTTTACTTTTAAACAATTTAATGATACAATATTGCATACAGTTTATATATTTTATTCACAACGGCAGCTTCTGCACATCCAGTATGTGTTTTTGGTTCCTGTTTAAGTCTGACGCATTTTTGGTGGAACCACTCAAGGCAGCCATCACAAATCAGTGATGCCACAATGTGCACGTCGGTTTTGCACACTAAACAATTCCACTCTGCAATTTCCCTTTCCCTTTTTGAAGTTATATCAGTTTTAAATGCCTGCCATGCTTCAGGTAAAAAGTTTTTTTTATTCTTGAAATATATATATTTTTGTCGTACTCTATCTGATTTTGAAAGAAGTTACGTCCTCCATGGATACATGCATACACAAATTAACAATATTTTAGTTTACTGTCGAACTTTGCTTTTGATGCAACAATTTTTCGCGAACTGAATAGAATTTGAATCTTGATAATTTTTAGTTTTGATCCAAACGCATCCAAAGTTTGAATTTTTTCACCCAAAGAAAATTTGTTAATTATAGGTTAGACAATACTTGGTCATGTTGTATGAAGATTTAAAGCCCGAGGCGTAGCCGAGGGTTTTTAATGTTCATAAAACATGACCAAGTATTGTCTGACCAATTTAGAACATGTTCACACCTTTGAGTGACATAACAAAATTAGCCTCTCATTGTTATAATCAAATTTTGATATCAGCTCACTTGAAATGTTAACATGGTTAGTAAAAGGGATGTACATCATTTTAATGGTCATTTCAATTAATGGAATGAAAGAGCAATGAGATAGTTTTGTGATAACAAAAAGGGATAAATTATTCAAAAATGGAGATGTCTTCTGCTTCAGGTACAATTTAATCTTATATATCGAGAATTCCTTTATTTTAAAACGCACACAATGTTATATAAATCAGCTTTTCTTAAATTGTATAATTTTTAATTATGAAAAAAACTTAATCAATGAATTTTCATTTACAATCGTTTCAACATCAGATGCTTGTTTTTTTTATTGATGAATAAATTTTTTTTTTTTCAAAAACTTTCTTTTATTTTTTATCAACAGTCATTGATTCTCAAAACATTGATTTTAAGGTCTCGTATAAAATCAGATTAAATATGTCATGTATTTTACCCACGCCTTTACCCCTTTTCAATTTTTTTTTTTTTTTTGGGGGGGGGGGGGGGGGGGTCAATATTTGTACCATTAAATAACATTTACAATATTAATATCTCAACTTAAAATGCCTTTACAGTTTTATATGCTCCTGATTTCATTTATAATAATTAGACAACCATCAGTACTCAAGATTGTTTTTTGCTCTTTTCCATTGGATATTGCCTTGGGGGATTCTACACTTCGTTAGAGCTGTTTTTAAGAGATCACTTTCATAATTAATCTACAATGAAAAGTCATTCATGTATAGCATTTTATAGTGCATGGAAAGCCATGTACTATACAAAATTGAAGGGAAATTACTGATTTTCCATTGGACGAGAATGGGTGAGTATGTTCTAATTGGAATTAGAATATACCAAAGTGCTCTCGACCAATGAAAGTTTAGAATTTGGTGTTCCTTAATTGTGAAGAATGAATGTAAATCATGTTCTTAGCAAGGGATTATCCTTTTGTTTAGGCCTATTTACAGTTCAAAACAAAGAATTTCTATGAATGAGTTACAACTGCCCGAAGCACATTTATTAGGATTATTAATTAGAGGTTGAATTTTGAAACAAACAAAAAAAAACTTAATAAGTTTGAAGTTTACTTGTGCAGTACAATTGATACCGTTTGTGTTATTATGCAAATATTTAGAACTTTCAAATTACAATATTAAAAATAAGCAATAGCAAAGCAATGCTACAGAGAAGAAAAAGAAAAAAAAACTTTTAAGATTGAATAAATTGAATCGACTTTTGAATTTCCTATAAAAAGCATTTTCTTTTCAAACATTTAAACTTCAGTTAATTAAGTAGTATTTGATGTAAAGAGCTGGAATAAAATTGGCTGTGCAATGCAATTTGATTTTGAATTTATTAAATTGAACTGTAAATAAACAAAAAGATAATTCCTCACTAAAATATTGCATAATTTACACTAATACTCACAATTAGGAAACTTATACAATTTCTACCATTTCATTGTAACGTTGTGTCATCTAACGTCTAATACACATATTATTAAAATTTCACAAATCAAAAGTTATTCCTTACATCACTAAGACCAATACATTAATGAAATGCCTAAAAGGGAAGTCATCTATTAATTATAAACTTTGCACTGACAATGAAACAAATTCTTGAATAAAACCAATCATTAGAACATACTCACCCCTTCTCGTCCAATGAAAAGTCAGTTTTTCCCTTCTAATTTTCATAGTACATAGCTTTCAATGCACTATAAAATGCTAAACATGAATGACTTTTCATTGTAGATTAATTATGAAAGTGAACTCTTAATAACTTCATTAACGAAGTGTACAATCCTTGGGAAAATAGCCTACTGATTAAAGATGAAAGAAAAAAAATTTATAAAAAACATTGCACATTGCAAATCTTTATATTAATGGTACATATATATAACAAACAAAAAATAAAATAAGATGGGGGCAAAGATGTAGGTAAAATTATCTTTTATACAATTTTATACAATTTTTATACCAGACATTCGAGTCGATTATTTTTTTTCAAGAAAGCAATGTCAGACTGCTGATATATAAAGCAAAGGAATTTTTGAGATAAAAAAAACCACAATACATGTACATTCATCAATAAAAAGTAAGCATCTGATGTTGAATGGTCGTAATTCAAATATTTATAGAGTAAGTTTTATAATTATCAAAAAATATTCAAATTTCAGAAGGAGGATTGATATAACATTGTGTGCTAATTAAAATCAAGAAATTTAAGGTATATAAGTATTAAATTTTTACCCGATGCAGAAGAAAAACTCAAATGTTTGAACAATTTATCCTTTTTGTCCTCACAAACTATGTCAGTGCTATTTCATTCCATCCATTTTAGTGGTTATTACCTATGTTATATACTCACTTCATTATAAAAAGTGAATTCTTATTTAGACGATGATCAGAAATTAGTTGAAATGATGAATTGTCCTGAAATTCAAGCATTTTTAAGCAAGAGTATTTTTAACTTTTTTATGAGACGAAAGTTATTTTTAGTTTGAGATACTATTTTTTTATAGTTTTAGTAACCTTTAAATTTTACTACCTTTAAAGTCATGTGATATTTAAATGAAATAAATAATAATTTTTATCTATATAATTTATAATTTATTTTAGTAAATGAATTTTTAATTGAATTTGTAATTATTTAAATGATAAATCTTTTTGAAATTGTACAAAAAACAAATTTTAGGAAATGTTATATTTACATATATTTAAATGTGAAATGTTTTGTAGACATGTGTCTCATAAGCCAATCTTATGGCTGGGTACTGATTGTTTTAATGTATATTTTTATTATGTCATTGTATAATGTTCAATCAGTATGTGACACAATAATAAAATTAATTTTATTATTATTATTAAAAATTTATTTTGAATATTACAATGGGAAAGGATAATTTTCTAAGGTCACTCGAAAGTGTGAATATGTTCTAAATTGGTCAGACAATACTTGGTCATGCTTTTTGAAGATTTAAAGCCCTCGGATACGCCTTGGGCTTTAAATCTTCATAAAACGTGACCAAGTATTGTCTAACCTATAAAGAGATCATTTGAGCCTTTGAGCACTTTACAATATTGTAAAGGATTATCATTCTCTTACAAACTTAGAATATTGTAAAGTGCTCAAGGCTCAAATGATCTATTCAAGAATTAGTTTCATTGTCAGTGCAATGTTTATAATTGATGCATGATGTCCTTTTTCGGTATGTCATTTATGGATTAGTTTTAGTGATGTGAGGACTTTCTAATCATTTGAGAAATATTTAAAAAAAAAAATGCGTTATAGATATTAGATGACACAACAGTAGAAAGAAAAGGTAGGAATTGTATGTTTCCTGATTGTGAGTATGATTGTAAATCATGTAATATTTCAGTAAGAATTATCCTTTTTTTATTTACAGTTTTAAATCAATTAATACATTTGAGTTACGACTAAATTTTATTTCACAGCCAATAATTTGGTCCGGCTTTTTACATCAAATACTGTTTCATTATGTCAGGGAAATGTTCAAAAATAATACCCTTTAAAGTTTTTAATATGTTCAAAATTAAATTTCTGTTTTTTTTTTTTTTTATCGGAATACATGTATTGGAAATAACTATTCTCCCCAACCGCTGATCAAGTAATCAAAGTTTTGGAAAGACAAAGATTTAGGTTATTTTTTATCTGAAAGTTTTTTTCTTTTTTTTTGCATTGCTTTGGTATTGTTTAATTTTATAGTAATTTGAAGTTATTAATATTTTCATAATAAAATTCACTGTACCAATTTTACTGCACCAGTAAACTTCAACTTATTTTGAGATTTTTTCACAATTCAACTTTTAGTCAGTTTCAATCACTGTGTGATAAATCCTTTCAATCTGATAAATGTGCTTCGGGGCAGTTGTAACTCATTTATAGAAACTCTTTGTTTTGAACTGTAAATAGACTCAAATAATAGGATAATCCCTTACTAAGAACATGATTTACATTCATTCTTCACAATTAAGAGGCATCCAATCCTACAATTTCATTGGTCGAGAGTACTTTGCTATATTCTAACATATACTAACTATATAGAAGTTAACACTTTTCCTCTAAACATCGAACCATTGAACTATATTCTTCGCCTTTGGCACTACTAAACTATAATATTATATATTGAAGAACATTAAAACAATCAATACTTAAAACTATTTAAACGTTATTTCTTATCAAGCATATCGGTGAATTCAGCAACAAAACTAAAGTCGGTAAAGGTTTGATAAATCTAACGTAACAATAAAACAACTTTACCGTAGACATCACTGTTACGTTCGTAATTAATCGGTTCCTAACCCAAACCTAGCATTCCTGCAATTAGTGTCCAATGTAACAATAAATTTTTGTTATTGTTACGTCTTCAACGTAATCATAACCAGCGCATAATTGAAAAGTGTGGATTGATTGACACGAATTGTTTTGCTAATCTGTTCAGTACATCATACTGACATATACCCCACATCTCCTTTATTCATTTTATTTTAAATAGACCAACTAATTTCAAATCCTTCATCTGAACCTCATACAGATGTTGAAGGGCCGATTCAACCGAAAGGGACCAACATTAGAGCCAAAACGTTGAAACGGAATTATGACTAGGCACGATAGTAATGCATTTCTTAATTTCATATAATCCCCTTAGTTTCACCACTGCTTGCATTAGGCAATATCTGTATGTTCATGCCAATATCCTGATCTAAGTTAGTGATGCAAATGTTTGTATATTTTTCATGCCTTTATATTTATACACTATAACTTATTATATCAAGGAGAGGAGACTATCTTAGTTGTGATAACTTGTGTATGATCCTTTTTGTCAAACGTAATAGCAAAGAACATTTTTTTTAAAAGAAAATATTTGTACCTAAATGGAATATTTGTACCTTCAGGCATGAAAGAATGTGCAAGTTGAATAAACAAATATGTTTTATTATTAGTTTACCTCAGTTGTGTTTTCCTGAAACAAGTTTGATTCCCTTTCACTGGTTCACCACTGTCTGCTAACGGTTCATTTCGGATCGTTGTAGATGAACCATTCGTGTTTGTTTCATTAACGTTAAAAGTTGTATCCTTCGAGTCACAATGTAATTAGTCCCACTTTGTCAATGAAGCAAGAAATGATCGCTGAATCGAATCAAATAAACTACATGTTTACAACAAATTTGATATGGTTTGTAGGTAGGACATCCTTTTGTATTTCGATCAAACAGGAAGGAAATATGGCAAGATAAAGATACTTGTCTTTTAAGTTACAAAATGTCGTTGTTGTTTTCCCTGGTCAAAGGATTACGAATTAACAAGCATAAACATAAATCTCGCATACATACATACATACATACATACATACATACATACATACATACATACAACTGCTTTGAAATTAAGAATTGATTGAATATAAGTTATTTTGTTGACTGACAACGTTGGAAGCCTTCCATGCAATTCGCTTTTAGAATTTTCAAATGTGAAATAAACATGGGGATGTCCGATATGAGAAGAATCACAATTAAAGTTGCCAAAATGACGGCAGCAACAGATCCTATGCCTCGTGAGCTTGGTCTTGGATCAGCGGCAGAAATTTTGGTATTTTTATAACTAGATAGCGTTGTTTTATCTATGGATAGCTCTTTCACCAGTTGATCTACCTTTTCCTGAAGCGTTTCATTGGATTGTTTTGGTGTCTTGTCACAGTTGCATTGGCAGTCTATCAAAAGTAAATATGTGTTAATGAGTATCAGTAATTATACAGAGCTCTATGAAACAACCTGAAATCTGATATTCTATCATGTATTTATGTATTTATATACTGCACGATATTCCATTTTGTCATTGAAACTTACTGTTTATTTGTCTTTTCTTTTTGTAATTTCCTTCTCTTAGTTTTTTTTTTATTTTAGATAAACTTTTTAATTGCAAATTACAAAAATACTGTTTTAAACTTATCTTCCTGTTTATTGTGTTTCTGTTTACAATTACGATCTTAAACGGGCTATTTATTCTTAAAGTCATATGAAACTTCAAATTGAAAAAAAAAAATGGGTTTGTTTTATATACTTGATTGGTTAAGTTTGACTATGAAACAAGTGTACATGGATTTTTTTTGTTAAAGAAAATCCTTTTTATCTTATCAAAATCTACAAAAATGTACTGCTATTGAATTATAGTCTTCCCTTACTCTAATTCGCCGATACGTTTTTCGTATGCAATGACCTTAACCACGAGACCTCTCGGTAGAATTTTAACAACCGCACAGCGCAAGCGCGAGGGAAAATCATGATATGAAAAGAATGTAAACACACGTGCACTGGAAGATAACTAGTGTAAAAGTGTGCAAGAACAATCTAAAACAACAAATCGTTTTAAACTGTTATGGCAATGTTTAATTAACATCTGGAAACGCATAGAAAATATAAAAGAGAAACATCGATCTATCAACTTACTTATTCTTAACGTGCTCCATGCTTTTGTGTAGATTGTTTATCAATGTCAAGATCCGGCAAACTTCGGCAATAAACCCGAAGATTAATTAGAAGCTAAAGATTGCGACCAACGCTCACTGAATGAAATATTTTCTGTCGATTATACATCATTGGTTCGTAATGAATGTAAAAACGTGCTTATAGGACTTAGTTTAGTATATATGTATGCATTGGTTCGATAATTTGCATAACATTATAAACACAAGACACTCGTTTCATATGACTCCAAATGTTATAAATCTAACACCGTACTAAAATCTTCCAAGTAGTGGTTTTATCGATACTAACATCGACTTTATTTGAAAAAAAAAATCAACACATGATTACCAAATATATATACAGTTATGGGTTCTCGTGATTCTTTATCCTGTCGATACTGTTAACGTATATATTTATGCTTTACACAAGGTCATACTTTTCAGAGACTGTTCATGACGTCTTCACACTAAATCCGTTGGATGTGTACTGATTGATACTTTAGAGTGAGAAAACATTATTCATTATTAATTGTAATTGGCTTTTAACTAGAGTTCAGTAACTGCACGTACTCTTGAGTCTATTGTGTTTGTGTCCGTTGTGTTTGTGTGTTTCGTACCGATCTAATGAATTAAGCCATTTGCAACTGAGTCGTTTTACAGATGTTCTTATGTTGTGCTGTTACACCATTGTCTCAGGCTAGGGGTATAGAGTTAAGTGCTCACACACATTCTGTATATGCCTGTACCAAGTCAGGAGTCTGTAATTCAGTGGTTGTTGTTGGTTCGTGTCTGTACATATCATTTCGTAAATTGTTTTGTTATAAACTAGACCGTTAGTTTGAATTGTTTCACTTTTTTCTGCCGGGGCCTTTCATAGCTGACTATGCGGTATGGGTTTTTTCTTCATTGTCGAAGGCCGTACTGTGACCTATATATTCTTGCATCCGCGTCATTTGAACTCTGGACAGTGGGGAATTCCTGTCTCATTGGCAATCATACCACACCTCCTTATTTTTATATTTACCTGTATTGTTGTTATTTTTTGCTGTTCCATAGAAACATCCAATAGTATCTAGGAGACCTTCTCCTATTTTTGTCAAAGGGCATGCCTAGTAAGAAAAAAACAGTCATAACAATTATCAAGTCTTGTTTTATTCACGGATCAGGAACACTTGATGAGTAGATGATGATGATGATGGATGACTGTCAAACGTTTAGTAAGAAATTAAATGCATATTCAGGACAGAAACATGTTGACGTGGTATGAATACGAATTGCTCTTTGTGCTGGTTCGAATTTTTAATGTGCTAGTAAGCAAGATAGTAGTTCGCAGGAAGACAATTCACCCTTACCGGACACAATCGTATTCCAAACCGACCAGTTTATGCTCTTACTTCTAAATGCTGCGTGCTAAACGAAGACTCAACAACTACCAATTTTCATGACCTACAACACTGAAGGCGAGCACGCTACCACTAGACCACCAAGGCGATTCTAGATCAATAATTAAATTTTTGTAGGGTTAAAGTCGGTATCATATATAGCAGTATAGCAAACCCACATTACTGCTATGGAATTGACAAAGAAACTGCATACCATTTCTTCTGTTAATGCATTCAATTATTTGATATAAGATCATACAATAATCGACTTTTCAATAATCTTAAATGGCTACCTGAAGTTTGTTTGATAGACTTATATCTTTTGGTGTGTGTTTGAATGAGAAACTATCAAAATAATTTTGTTTTAGGACTAGTTGTTGATAATAAGATAAAGATAGTAAATATTTCTTTTGTCCTTTAAGCTTGTACATTTATTAATTTTAAAAGTATACTTAAAAATTTGTATATTCTTTATAAAAAGGATATACTTGTGTCGGATCCATTTTTTGCTTTTTACAAGTAAAATATGCCTAAGCTAATCCTCATCGGGCAGTCATATCTAACATAAAGGCAGACCGAACTACAATAACAATAACACATGAAAGTCTGACGACCATATCTTAAGTAACGGATTCAAAAATTTTAATTGCATATTTCTTTATCAATATGGCACATTCCTTAAAAAACACGAAGAACCTTCTATGGTTGTATTAAGGTTCATCATAACAAATGGACAAATATGGCCGTATTTTCACCTCAAAAACTACTCTGTGTACAGACTTACCTGTGCAGTTTGGAAAGTTTTAAGGCCTAGTATCCACTAAATATATAAAAGTTAAATGCATTTTGTGTTTCACAAAGATAAAATCGTTTTTGGATTTTGATGGGCATTTTTTTGTCCTTCCAGCAGAAGGTGTAAAAATAAACAAACACCTGAATTGCATTTGATACTGTCCCCTCAGTTACTACCTTTAACTTAGCTGTGCCAATCAGGGACAATGGTACAATACAAACCAGTTGTTACCTGAGAGGGAGCATCTCAAAGTTGTATCCCAACTTAGTTTATTTTTACACCTTCTGCAGGAACGAAAAAAAAATGTCCATTAAAATCCAAAAAAAGATTTTATCTTTCTGATATGCAAAATACATTTAACTTTTATATATTTAGTGGATGCCAGGTCTTAAAACTTTCCAAACTGCACAGGTAAGTCTGTACACAGAGTAGTTTTTGAGGTGAAAATACGGCCATATTTGTCCATTTGTTATGATGAACCTTAAACTGATGAAATAAAGCGGTACAATGGAGGCCGTAATTTCATCATAATTTTCAGATATATATGTGAAAATGTTTGAGGACTGTTATTTTAATCAACAATATTTACGAACCTAGGATTAGTACTGCTAAGTGGCGTATTTGTCTATTACGAATAATAAAATATCAAAATTAAAAAAGTTTCACCTGTAAATTAAAGTTATATTATATTTTTCTACACCTGATTCTCCTTCAATATGGAAAGATGAGGGGCCTCGGTGGCCGAGTGGTCTAAGTAGCTACTGTTATCACTAGCCAGTCAACACTGGGGTTGTGAGTTCAAACCCCGCTCGTGCGGGTGCACTCGACTACAATCTTAATTGACTAGGATTGTCAGTTTTCCTATCGAAGGTCGGTGGTTTTCTATGGGCACTCCGGCTTCCTCCAACAATAAAAACTGGCCGCCACGAAATAGCCCAAAAGCGGTACTAAAAAGTGGCGTTAAAACACCAAAAATCAAAAAATCAAATGGAAAGATGTGTTCGGGTAGATGCTGTATTTTTGTTCAGTCACAGTGTTAAGATATATTGACATAAGGACACAAAGTTTAGTTCTTGTAAAGCAAATACTATTTTTCGAACGGATTAAATAGAAGGTGTAGCTTACCCTACTCCTTTAATATTATCAAACTTATCAAAGGTGTAGCTTACCCTACTCCTTTAATATTATCAAACTTATCATTAAGTATTTACCAAAGTGTTAATCTGTATTGCTGTAATATGTGAAGCGATAAATGACTCATCCCTGTAAAACAAAATCTTCCTTATTTGAGTCATGCTTGTAAAGCTGTCGTCGGTCGGTTTTTGGGGTGATACAGTAAGCTGTTTATTAGACGGCACTAAAGAAAATGAAATATCTCCACCGTGTGATCTACAAATAAGCACCACCAGAATAGTTAAGTTTGATCTGATTTCTTGTTCTACTGGAAACAAGTCCAAGTATTCCGCGCGCGTGACATGGTAGTAAGATATATCTCCGTTTGCATCCTCGATTTCGATCTGATTATCTGTTTCTGAACTAACTACTCTATAGAAACAGTCCAGTTCATCCATACCGGAAACATCTCTCAAGAAATACTTATAGTCCCAGGCGTTTATAGGAATAAGCTGTTCGTAAAATACAGAAGTCGTGGAATAGCCTCCGCAATATAACTGAAAAGGTTTATTGCTTTTAATGTACATCCCAGTTAGATCAATTGTTGATGATTCTAACGTGACTGTCTCATATTCGTTT